TAAAAGAGTGGAAAGGCCAAAATTGTTGATCTTTCAACTGAATAGATAGGGTGATCCTGATTGAGTCTTATCTCTTTCTTTTCTATTGCCTGGTAAAATGACTGTCGGGTGAAACTTTCTTTCTGCACAATAACATTTCAGGCTCTGTAGTACAATTGCAGTTGTGTACTTGGAAACCCCTTTATAGATTCAGGTCACATTGTTTCACAGCAAAGATTTGCCATTTAGGATTATCAGGAGCCTCCAGCTATTACCACTGTTTTTATATGGTGGATAATAAAATGTTTAATAAAATACCAGATAAAATACCTTTTAATTAAACTGCAAAACCATGCATAAAAATCTGACTCTTCCACATCCTGAAGGAACACCTTGTCATAGAATGAGAGAGTTGGAAGAGACCTTGTGGGCCATCCAGTCCAACCTCCTGCTAAGAAGCAGAAAAATCACATTCAAAACACCCCTGATAGATGGCCACCTAGCCTCAGTTTAAAAGCTTCCAAAGAAGAAGCCGCCATCACACTCCTGGGCAGAGAGTTCCACTGCTGAACAGCTCCCACAACTAGGAAGTTCTTTCTAATGTTCAGGTGGAATCTCATTTCCTGTAGTTTGAAGTCATTGTCATAAACTCAGTGAGATGAAAGATAGCATGAATAAAACTCTAACAGTAGGTACTATGCATTGAAGACGTTGTCAGAGTAAGTTTCTGCAAGTATCGTTGCTGTTGTTTTTTCAGTACATAGCACAACTGTGCTAAGTCTGTGGTACATGTGTTGTTGAACTTCTGTTCTAATCAGACCTTGGCAGAGATGATGTGAGTCATCACCATCACGAAGGCTGAATGTCCCCCATCTCTAACTGAGGAGTAAATGATAGAACTGCCAGATAGTTGGAGATTTTTGTGGTGCATTGTGAACTATGGACCCCATGCTACTAGAATTACCAAGAATACAGTTATAGCTACTAATTACAGATATGCTTAGTTCACAAATTAGAGTTCTAAAGTACGCATTCTCCTTGTACTTGAGTCTTATCTCCAAGATAAGTGAAGCTGGTCACATAGTAGCACAAGAAGTGCTGACATAAATCTGATTATCACGTTAACTTTTCATCATCTGTGATGAACTTCCTGATTCCTATAGCAAAACTCATTTGGAAGCTGGGAAACTCTTGGGTTCAGTGCTAGGAGATCTGGAAATTTCTCTGGCACAAGTATGTATAACTAGACAAAATTGTTGTATAACCAAATTCAGACTTAAGACCTCATCACAAAGGGGTAAATTTGGCAGCATGAGCCATTTTAGCCTAGGCCACCCACGGAGCCCGCCAGCTGACATCATACAACATTGGTGCAGCTCCGTGGGTGAAGGAGAGTAGAGCCGGCACATGCCGCTGAAACAGCAACATGGGAGGCTTCCTGTGTTGCTATTGGAACCTATGGGGAGAAGCCACATGCTCCACTCCTCCCTCATATGATCAGCTGTAAGAGGAGCCAGGCCGTGAAGGGTGTCAGGCGTTGGGTTCCCCATGCTCCCTGACGAAGTGTAGTGACTCCAGCGGTCATGTGACAAGGTCGATGAATTAATTTAGTGCAGCTAGGTATTTCTGTACTACCTCTTTATCTATTTTGTGCTGCATTTCCCCTGTTGCATATTCTGCTTCGTTTCCCCCAGGTTGGATACTGTTTTCAATTTGAGAGAAGACCAAGGCAGAGAAGTTCTGCCTTTTCTCTGTCTCTTGTTAGAATTTCATCATTTTCTCCCTGCAGTTGCCTTTTTCCTTCTTTTTTCAGCTCTCTATCAAGCCTGAGCCCATTTTGTGCTTTCGGTTTTCTGACTTTTTCCCTATGTGTGCTGGGTATTCACTTAAATTCACCTTTGACAATTTCCACTTTTTTCCCTATTTCTTGTGCATGCTCTTTTAAAATCCCAGCTCATTTTAAAGAGAGGGTCCTTTAAAATTCTCAGCCAGTTAAGTCCTGGGCTTGCCTACACTACAAATCCCAGAATTCTGCAGTATGCAGTAACTGGATGCAAAGTGGATAGATGCTTAGTGCGATGAAGTCCTATCTCACCGCAGGACACCAATTGGATTTCCATGGCCAAGTGGGGAATTGAACCCAAAGCTGTAGTGCAGCACTCAAACTATTACAACATACTTGCTCTCTAAGGCTGGATCTACGTTGCCATAAAATCCAGCTTCTGAATCTAGATAATCTGCTATAAATTGGATTATATGCATCTACACTGCCAGTTCAAAGCAGATAATCTGGAGTCAGAAACTGGATTATATGACAGTGTAGATGGAGCCTAAGGAGGCCCAAGATAAAATCCACACTTAAATAAAAGGATCACTTGTCTCTGTAGTACTTAGCTCTCAGTCACAGCCTAATATGAACAAGTCTGTGTGACATGAAAAAGAGGAAGAAGAAACCCTTTTAAGATTCAAAGTACAAACACTGGATAAAAATGTTATAGCACGACGAGGCAATCTCCAATGCATGCAGTGAAAGAGCTTGCTGTGTAGTTGCTGTTGCACCCAGTCTTTTAAATGTGCGAAGTGCAGACCGCTCTGACCAGGGACCGCTCTCCAACATTTGTACCAAAAAGGGTTACAAATCAGTTTTTGGTCAACTTTAGATTTGGTTTGGTTATTTGGGGGTGCTGATTCAGAAAATTACATTGGATAGACCACATCAGCTCTAGTTTCTTATACAGAACATATACCATCCAGTAGTCACCATCTGCTCACCCACAGAAAAGCATATTTAACAATCTAGAGCTGATGTGGTCTATCCAATGCAATTTTCTGAATCAGCACCCCAAATAATCTCAGAAATAGGCCTAAAAACGAACACACCAAGGCGCCCCCGCTTCCAGGCTCCACATGGAACGGCTCCGCTCAGGGGGGAGGGAGGAAGAAGGGGCTTGTTGACGCACCTTTTGTGGGTAGTCATCCTCTCCTCTCCTGGCATCCCTGTTACCTTGGCATTATAAGAGGGTTTCGTGAGACCAGTCGCTCTCATAGCAATGGTTTATTTATTTATTGTATCAGGAACAAACCAATGTATTTGAGAAAACACAAAGTTTAAAAACTTGACATTCTATTAAGTGTCCTTTGACCAGTAGTTGGCCACTTGGAGTGCCTCTGGTGTTGCTATAAGGAGGTCCTCCATTGTGCATGTGGCAGGACACAGGCTGCATTGTAATAGGTGGTCAGTGGTTTGCTCTTCTCCACACTCGCATAGACTCCACTTTGTAGCCCCATTTCTTAAGGTTGGCTCTGCATTTCGTGGATTGAGGTGCTGGGTTTTACCCTGCCACTTTTGGACTCTCGCTTGCTGAGGTGTTCCTGCGAGTATCTCTGCAGATCTTAGAAAGCTATTTCTTGATTTAAGGCATTGACGTGCTGGCTGATACCCAAACAAGGGATGAGCTGGAGATGTCTCTGCCTTGGTCCTTTCATTATTGGCTGCTACTTCCCGGCAGATGTCAGGTGATGCAATACCAGCTAGACAGTGTAATTTCTCTAGTGGTGTAGGGCGCAGACACCCTGTGATAATGCGGCATGTCTCATTAAGAGCCAAATCCAATGGTGTAGTAACAGTGAGGCTGTGGACCATATTTTAGTTCTTGGGGACCACTGGTGGTCCACAGGCCACAGGTTGGAAAGTATTCTAGAGAGTAAGAGCCTAAAAACAATTCATACCAAGAACTCTTATATTTGCTTTGTTTTCTTATCCCTGTATCCTTTTCTTTGACACCCAAATTGTATTTGTAAATGCTCAATTGGAATTTTAACTCACTGTGATGCTGATAATTTGGGGATATAAGGAAGATTATTTAAGTAGAATTTTGTCTTGAAGGATTTTGAATGACATTAGCACCTTAAATTCAGACTGGAAGCTCATTAACAGCTGGTGCTATTCATTGGAAACCGGTGTTACATATGGCTTACATGGCAGTCCTGTAAACTTTCTCTAGCTGCTGTGTTCTGTATTATGTCTGCAGGGGCGGCTCAACCCATTACGCAAAGTAAGCATTTGTAGTATAGTTGATTTTGCCCAGGGGAGCTCTTGAGGCGCTCTTGGGGGAAAATAGACCTTGACATATGCGAGTTGTAGTCACTGGGATGTATAGTTCACCTACAATCAAAGAGCATTCTGAACTCCACTAAATATGGCACACAGAACTCCCACGAAGAACAGAAAATATATATCAGTGATTGGTTGGGGGGGGGGGTACCAAAATACTGTTTGCTTACCATTGAAAATTACCTAGGGCCGCCTCTGTATGTCTGTATATGTGCCTTCAAGTTGGCTGCTGATTTATGGTGAGACCATTAATTTCATGGATACTCGGGGGTGGTTTTGCAAGTTCCTTCCTTTGAAATACTGTGCAACCTACATATAGGTTAATAATTCTTAGGAATGTCAGCAAGGAATAAGCAGATGGGCTGATTTGGACAAGGTGTTTTTGTAGAACAGAAGTCGAGCATTTAATTCTGTATAAAAGGAGACTCTGTGTCTGTGCATCAAAGCAGTTAATTGTCTCCTGAAAATGTAGAATCTGCAGCGTAATTAGATGTGATCTTAAAATGTGTCTGTGTTCATGTGTATATGTCTGTTGACTACATAAGGAAGAGCCAACCATCAGTTAATATATAGGAAAACTGAAAAGGATTATACATATTTTCTATGAGATTGTTACATAAATGAGTATGTAAGCCTATTCACTTAAAAACATTCAGCCCAGGCAATATCTGGTAACATTTATATATTCATGAGCATTGCATTTCATTTTTTATCTTTAAAAATATAAATATGTAATTAAAAAATCCATTATGGGTCTTATTATTTATTTATGTCTGTAATGCAAAATTTTTGCTAAAATCCAATTTCTTCAATAGTACATTGAAATAATAGCGGTATGTTCTATTGTTAAAAGTATTGAGATTGCTTATTGCTTTCCCTCATTTTTTCTGTTTTTGTTTTCCCACAGAGATAAATAAAGGACATAGCAATCATGGGGTAAGTATTTATGCTGTAGAATTTGTTAGTTTTGTTCTTGCTATATATCTCTTTTTGCTGAAAATAGATTATGATCTCTAAACAACAACAACAACAACAACAATAATAATAATATACTTTATTTATATTCCACCTTTCTCCCTTATGGGACTCAGAGTGGATTACCATATTTACATACATAGGCAAGCATTCAATGCCTTTACAATCATATACAACAAGACACACAAACACAAACAAAGGCAGGGGCTTCTCCTTTCATTTCTAGTTCTGCAGACGGTGCTCATCTCTGGCTCTGGGGACGAGCTTTTCTCCATTTTCAAGCCAAGGAGCCTGCGTTGTCACCTCTTGGTTGTGTGGCTGGCAAAATTGCTTGGAGTGTCTCTTTTGCCTTTTCTTGCCAAAGCAGTACCTATCTATCTACTCACATTTGCATGTTTTCGAACTGCTAGGTTGGCAGGAACTGGAGCTGACAGACAGGAGCTTGCCCTGTCTTGCGGACTCAAACTGCTGACCTGCAGTTCAGCAGCACAAGGGTTTACCCCATCGCGCCACTGCAGCGGGAATCAAATGGTCCTCCAAAAGCTATCCCACTGCAGCTTCTATCTTTTTCACCACTTGGCTATTATGACTAGAGCTGATGGGAACTACAGTCAAACAATATTGGAGGGCTTCATGATTCCCACACTGGCCCTAGATCCATCTCCTAGCTCCAATTAACATAGACTTATTCCCCATCTACACTGACCTATAAATGCAGTTTCAAATGGGTATTGAAGAAAGTGGTTTAGCTGTGCAGATGAATACATAGAGATCCTGGAACTGGTTTGAGGACTGAATGGTGATTCCCCACGCCACAGAACACTTGTGCGCATTAAGGACTTTTCTTTATGCACTTTCATTTGTTTTACTCCAAACTGACAATTTCTCCTATTTTGGAGAGGAGATCTTTCAGTGCTTTGAAGGAATGCCACAAATCTTCAGGGCCATACAAATGTGTTTTGGAGAATGCATGAAGCCCACGGTCTCCACTTTCCTAATGCCTGCATTATCTCAATGAAATTCATGTAAATGTTATCAATCACATTTTTAAGTTGTAACTGACAGTAGGACACAGTGTCTAAGTCTATTCGTTTCCTGTTCTCTAGGTCCTAAATAATAATAGATTTAACATTTAAATACTTGTTTCTTTACATAACATCAATTTATTTGCATTACAGTGATGGCAATATGCACCATACTATAATTTCCCATCAATTAGAATTATGTAATGATTTTGAAACAATTCTTTTTCTGATTGGTATGACAGGGATTGTTAAACATTTATCGCAGATGAAACATCTGTCAGTAGGTCAGGATTGTGACTTCATTCAACTAGAATAGCAAAGCAATAATTTAATCATGATTTAACATAATATCAATTACGTTTAAGCCTATTGAAACTTAACATTCCTGCTGTGTCATCTTCAAGTTGCTTGAACCAGACATAGATCTGATAATCTACCAAACAGAGGACCCTCTCTTTTTAAAAAATGGACAAACTATCCCAATTGTCATTTAAATTTTCACAATGCTCCAGAGTGGTACTATATTTTTGGATGTCAGACATGGCTATTGTCCACCTCCACATAGTCTGGATGAGGCCCCAATGATGCAAGATTGGGACCAATGAGAGCTCTTCTGGACCTGCTTACTATTCAGAGGCCCATGAGGAGCAAGGCAAAAGATGCAGGTGGATGACAGAACCCTTCTTTTCCGCCTCTTGCCAAAAATAAATAGGCTTAGACTCCATTTCATAAAGATTTACAAACAAAATAAATAGACATCTTAAAACAATTGTTTTAGAAGTCAATGTGCTTTGCTATGATATGCTACATTTCAGTTTTCCCCCCTAATCCTTGGTGTGATACTTGTTTTATGGCTTCATAAGTACCATGAAGGGGCTGTGGTGGTGCAGCAGGTTAAACCGCTAAGCTGCAGAACTTGCTGATCGGAAGGTTGGCAATTCAAATCCATGGATAGGGTGAGCTCCTGTTGTTAGCCACAGCTTTTGCCAACCTAGCAGTTTGAAAACATGGAAATGTGAGTAAATCAATAGGTACTACTTTGGTGGGAAGGTAATGGCGATCCATGCAGTCATGCTAGCCACATGACCTTGGAGGTGTCTATGGACAATGCCAGCTCTTCAGCTTAGAAATGGAGATGAGCACCAACCCCAGAGTCAGACTCAACTAGACTTAATGTCAAGGGGAAATTTTTACGTTTATAATTACCATGGCTTATTGTCTTCTGTTTTTATCTCTCTCTATCAGCCCAGTTGCTTTGGCTACCCACTCAGCATCTTCTTCATCGTCATCAATGAATTCTGTGAAAGATTCTCCTATTATGGAATGCGAGGTGATTTTTCAGTTCACTGCAGTTCGTTGCTCATGGCTTACGCCTGAGGAGTGTTTCCTATCCCTCATTATGTTTTGTTATTTTCTCCCTATAGCCGTGCTTGTCATCTACTTCAAGTTTTTTCTCAGTTGGGATGACAATCTTTCGACAGCCATTTACCATACGTTTGTAGCCCTGTGCTATCTAACCCCTATCCTCGGAGCACTGGTGGCTGACTCCTGGCTGGGAAAGTTCAAGTGAGTACAAACATCAGATACGAAAATAGTTCTGATAAAGAGTGACCTTATTGGTTGATGAATTCTGGGAGTTGCTGTCCAACATAGTAACTTTTCCAACAAGGTGGAGCTCATTTAGTTGATACTCCACCCAGGTAAGAGCCAAAACCCTGTGCAAAACCCATCAAACATCTTGAACAGGCATGGGCAAACTTTGACCCTCTAGGTGTTTTGGACTTCAACTCCCTACCGGCTGTTAGGAATTGTGGGAGTTGAAGTTCAAAACACACGGAGGTCCGACGTTTGCCCATGTCTGAATGTAGTGATGAGGGACAGCTACTGAATTCCTACATGTAAAAACACATATATGGTTGTGAGAAAATTGTGACTATCATAGGGGTGTTCTAACATTGGCATCGCTTTTGAGATCTTATGGCATTACTCATATATTTTTAAAAAATACTTCTGCAAATTCTACATTTCAGCTTGCAGCCCAACACATGCCAAATTCAACACATACTTTGATTTCCATATGAAATGTATACACTTTCTATTTTTAAAAGTCCATTTTAATATTGATGCCATTATAAATTGATGCAGAAATGGTCAAATTATATCTTGGGTCTCTGAATCCCACTGGTACCCGCAATAAGAGCAGAACCAGTGGCTCAGTTGTTGAATTGTGAGTCTGCACTCGTGTAAAATCACATTGAATCAGTGGATCTATTCTAGTTGGGTCTAAATAGGATTCAGGCCAGAGAGAACATGTTGAATATTATAATAGAGGATCAGGCAGGTTAGCCACAACAATTTAAAACAGTCCCTACTTACTTCTACTCTGTTTGTGTGGGAGTGATCATAAAGTTACTTCATTCTTTGCTGGACTGGGACTTCCAGTTTTGTTTTGTTTTTTGGAGTGCCTCATGTATGTGATACCTGTTGTTATGTACAATTGTGGAGTGACAAGCACATAAGATCGAATATATGCAGCTACTCAAGTTCTCATTATGCCTTCAGCAAAGAACCTTCAAAATATTAGTTCATGGATTTCTCTTCATCCTTTAGATCAGTGTTTCTCAACCTCCCTAATACCACGACCCCTTAATACAGTTCCTCATGTTGTGGTGACCCCCAACCATACAATTATTTCCGTTGCTACTCATAGCTATAATTTTTCTACTGTTATGTATTGTAATGTAGATATCTGATACTCAGAATGTATTTTCATTCACTGGACCAAATTTGGCACAAATACCTGATATGCCCAAATTTGAATACTGGTGGTTTTGGGTGGATTTATAGTTCACCTACAATCAAAGAGCATTCTGAACTCCACCAATATTCAATATCTGATATGCAAGATTTATTTTCATTCACTGGACCAAATTTGACACAAGTTGCCCAAATTTGAATACTGGTTGGGTTGGCAGGGGTATTGATTTTGTTATTTGGAAGTTGTAGTTGCTGGGATTTATAGTTCACCCACAATCAAAGAGCATTCTGAACTCCACCAATGATGGAATTAAACCACCTTGGCACACACAACTCCCATGATGAATAGAAAATACCGGAAGAGTTTAGTGGGCATTGACCTTGAATTTGGGAATTGTAGTTCACCTACATCCAGAGAGCACAATGATGGAGCTGAACCAAACTTGGCACGAATATTCAATATGTCCAAATGTGAATACTGGTGGAGTTTGGGGAAAATAGACCTTGACATTTGAGAGTTGTAGTTGCTGGGATTTATAGTTCACCTACAATGAAAGAGCATTCCGAACCCCACCAAGGATAGAATTGGGCCAAACTTCCCAGACAGAACTTGCATGAGTAACAGAAAATACTGTATTTTCTGATGGTCTTTGGCGACCCCTCATGACCCCCCCAGGGGTCTCAACCTCCAGGTTGAGAAACACTGCTTTAGATGAAGGACATGCTTTGCATGCTGAAATTCTCAGGTGCAGTCCCCAGTGCCTTTAATTAGAGATGGCAAAGATACCTATTTCAAAGCCTGACTTCAGGTGCCAGGGTTGTGCAGTGTGTATTTTATGTGTGTGTTGGGGGCATCTATGCATATTAACTTATGGAATTGTGTACATACATGGAAGATATTGCACTTAGTGGTATGCTTGTTTGAAGATGCAGATATGTATTGTATGCACTTTGTGCATCCACCATAAGTCCTGTCCATAAGCAGGTGCTCTCCTCAACAAATCTCTTCCTCTTATATGTAACCACATCCTATCGAAATCAGCTTATTCCTTTTATGACAAACATAGTGAGGACTGAGCTGTTAATCTTTTACTCTGCTTTCCATATTTGACATATTCAAATATAGAGAATGGGAGCAAAATAGGCTACTAAGAAGGACATGAACAGAAAAAAAAACATTAAGTATTGAGTTGAAATGTAGCAATATTTGTATATGTTTTGCTCAGATTTTAGTTGTCATGGCATATTTGCCCAAACACAGGTTGGACAGTTAAGCCTGGCATAATAAATTCATACTTGAGGATGAAAGAATGAGGGTTTGTGCCATTAAAAACGCATCTTATGTCTGCTTTCTTCCTAACAGGACCATTATTTCCTTGTCCATTGTGTACACAGTTGGGCAAGCAGTTTTGTCAATAGGTTCCATAAATGATTTGATGGATGCAGACCGGGATGGTACACCTGATAACCTACAAATTCCCGTGTAAGTTGTATTGCTAATTTCTGCCTTTCACATAAAAGCACATGAAAGCACTTTTTTCGTGTCAGGAGCGACTTGAGAAACTGCAAATCACTTCTGGTGTGAGAGAATTGGCTGTCTGCAAGGACGTTGCCCAGGGGACGTCCAGATGTTTTGATGTTTTGCCTTCCTTGTGGGAGTCTTTTCTCATGTCCCCGCATGGGGAGCTAGAGCTGACAGAGGGAGCTCATCCACGTTCTCCTTGAATTCGAACCTCTGACCTATCAGTCCCCAGTCCTGCTGGCACAAGGGTTTAACCCATTGCACATACTACATATTCAACAGTACCACAAAACCTTTGTTGACAGCTGTTTAATTGTTGTCACCTTGACTGCCCTCTTCACAGTGTCCTATTGCTCTTATTGCCCTCAATAAAATTGCAAATGTGCTTTAGTAGAAAATTCAAGCATTTTGATGACCATCGGAAGGCTTTAAATTGTTTAAGTATGGAACCTTTGTGATCTTTATTATCATTTTATAGAGGAAATTGTGTATTTTATAGCATATCTCTGCAAAGTAATTGCATGCACATTTAGTTAGAAACTTGCTTTTAAATTTGCCCTTTAAGCCAAGCATACATTAGATGTAGTCTTCTCTAACATACTAATGGGTATGGAAGAAGGAAAATAATGTGGTTCATAGACTCAGAGACAACAAAAAAGAGGTACACCTAATACACATACATAGCTTGTGTGTGTACCAGCATGTACCTTTCCCTTTTACAGCAGTCTTTTTTTCTGATTGTACTTGGAGATATCACTTACATTTACATTTTTCCTTCCGTTACAATTAGATTTGACTCTGTATTGTCAAAGGCTTTCATGACCGGAATCACTGGGTTGGTGTACCCAGTAATGGCAAGCATCTTCAGAGGTTGTGAGGATGCTTGCCATAGATGCAGGTGAAACAACAGGAGAGAATGCCTCTAGAACATGGCCATATAGCCCGAAAAAACCTACAACAACTCAGATTTGACTCTGTTGGCCAGCCATGTGGACCCATAATTCTGGAATCCCACAGTAGTGCCAAGTTCAAATATCACAACAATGAAAATTCAAATATAAAATTCAGCCCAAGACCAAAAAATATGTGGAATATGAGACATCTTGAATCACGTGGCAACTAATATTTGTTTGTTTGATGTTATATTTCAATTTAAACTTACCTTGCACCACTAATAGTTGTCTACTGCTAATTTCACAGTGGGCATAATACACTACATGTCACGATCACAAGGTCTTATCTACACTGACACTATAATGTGGTCTTGAGCTGGCTTGAAACTGCAATGGCCACAAAATCCATGCTGCTAATGGTTGATGCAACATGCATTTCAGGGTATTCAGCACATTAAAAAGTGCAGCCAGATAACATGCTGCAGCAGATGCCAGCGTATCCCAGATCTAGGGTGAAATTGGCTCTGCAAAATGTGCAAAGCAGTTCCAAGCTGCATTATACTGTCAGTGTAGATAGGCTTGAAGGAATCACTGGAGATTGTCATATGTGTCTTATAGTATTGGGGACATAGTTCTGAACAATGCCATCTTTAGCATGCACAAAACCCAGGAAACTAAGCAAAACAATGGAGGAATACCAAATCTATCAGAAAAACCTACAACAACCCAGAAATTACCTTGTGTATCTATTCCCTCTTTTGCTACTCAACCTATTTTCTCTGGCACAGAAAAAGATGGAAGGCAGGATGGAGAAAAAGGGAGGATTATGAAAGGAGGATGATGGCAGATATTGTATGAAACTCCCATAAAATGCACTGAGAGAAACAAAATGATGGCATGAGAAAAGCCTTGTCGCAGACTGCTGTCTTATGATGCCATAGCATGCTTGTAAATGCATCATTGTGACCTTGCAAGCATCTCTAGAACTGGAAGAACTATTCAGGGAAGTGACCATTGTCGTGAATCTGTTTCTGCTATTACAGTGCTTTCTCTATGATTGGTTTGGTCCTGATTGCTTTTGGAACTGGTGGAATCAAACCATGCGTCGCAGCTTTTGGTGGAGATCAGTTTGAGGAACATCAGGTATGATAATACGTTGTTACACTTTCCTCAACCTAGTGATTGGAGAAAAGTTTCAAGGATGCTGTAATAGATTCTAACCTTTGCCGGCTAGGCCAAAGCCCGAGAGTCAGTGGGCTGGGTCTCCATCTTGGTAGGGCAGCTTAGAAGTAGCTGACATCTTGGGAGAGGCAAGGAGGCAGGGGAGGAGTCAGCCGACTCTTGATTGGTTTAAGCACCAAGGGGAGGAGTTGGGTGAGAGTGAAAAAGGCTGTCACTTCTGACAGGAGGGAGAGAAGGGTCTAACAGAGACAGAGAGAGAAGTAGGATTTCAACAGAGAAGAAGTATTTTAGACAGGGAGAAGGAAGCTTTTGAGTGAGTTAAGCTGTTAGGGAATAGGAAAGGGACAAGGGCTTCAGTATTACTGTACTAGGAGAGTCAGTGAGAAGACATGTCAACTTGTATTAATAGAGAGTACAAGTGAGCTTATTGCCCTATAGTGGAGAGTAGACTGGAGAAAGTCTGGTTACTCTGTAAGACAGTCAGGGGGACTGATCTTAAAAGCACACTGTTCCAAAGGGTTGAATAGTGTGAAGAAGATATCTCACTTCAAATAAAAGCTACTCCGTCTGTAGAACCTAATGTCTAGTAAGCCTAAGCCTCGATAACAAAGATACGTGTGTGTACCACTCATTTTATGAGTTGTCTTCTTCTTGAAGTTCAATAAACCTGTTATTCGTTCATCGTTAACTGGTGTCTGCCTCGGTCTGTCATACGTAGTGAAACCAAGTCAACCTAATTCTCTTTTATAGTCCAGTCAGCAAGCAAAGGAGCCCAAAAAGAAGAACCAGAAGCTTAGGTGTATATTACCTCAGATACATTCACACCTTGCTTCCCCAAACAATAAAATTGAGGTGGTGGCGGCAAAAATCTACCAATATCATCGGTCTCTCACATCATTAGTCATTCCCTCATGCAAATTCCTGTCACACAGGTGTGATTAGAGACACCTCGTCTCGCGTTCTCCCTTACATTGGTGGCAGCGGTGGGATAGAAAGGTTCCCCCCCTGTCACACATGCGTTAAGGGACCCCTCGTTCCTTAATCTTGTTTACAGATGCATTGTGCTATTGGCTTCATTGTTCGAATGGAGCACTATAGATGCCTGGTGCTTAAGAAATGGAAGTATTAATATTTTTTAAAAAATACAAAAATGGAGATGCAATGTTAACACTTCCATTGATCCACACCAGAATTCCAGAGAGGTTATACATCTCCGGAAAGTAATTAATCAGTGTTGCAGTTTTTATACAAGTACCTCTTTGCTTTCTTGTTTTGGTACCATTTCATTATCCGTGTGGAGGCCACTAGGGGGCACTAGGGAGAGAAGGATTGTCCCATTTATGGCAGGAGTTGAAGGAGGAAAACCATTTCCCCATTTTTGCTGGTCATTCCCCCTCCCCCTTTCCCATATCATAAACTAGGGTTGTTTCCACGATGGGGACATGGGTGGGGAAGTAACAGGAAAATTGAGAAATGGTTTTCCTCTTTCAAACCACTCTCCACCCCTCATAAATGGTACAACCCTTCTCTCTCTAGTGCCCCCTACTGGCCTTCACCTGGATAGTTTTTTTAATTGATTAAACAAGAGTCTTTGAAAGCTCTGAGTGCAAGAAGATGATGGATTGTGATGCAAAGCACACACTTCTTTTGTGCAGTTCATGAATACTTTTCTGATCAATGACAACATATGATGTAGCATGAATTAGCTCTTTTCACTGACAGTCCTCCTCTGCCTTTAGTTAAGCCAGCTCTTATAACCATACAAGTAACCAAATGTAATTTTGTAAAAGGTGCAACAAGGAACCACTAGTTATTTTTCAGCAACTTGCTTCCAAGCTCCGTCATATTCTTCCTGGGCCATTTACTCATAAGTCCCTTAACAAAAGGTGTGATTGGCATCTTTACCAGTGACTATTAAATAATATTTTGTAATCCATCCTGGCTCCATTAACCATTTCCATTCCTCTGCCAAACCTACAACCCTAAATGCAAAAACGTAAAACTTTAATATGAATAAATGCAAAATCATGCTTATTTATAGCAGTCTTAAACTTTAGCATACATTTTCTTAAAGTGAAACATATATTCAACAATATCTGTTGTCCGGTTATGGCAAAATTTAGCACTTTCTGTGTTATAAAACAATGTGTATGAAGATAATTTATATTAGTTTTCCCTTTTGCATTTCAGGAAAAACAAAGAAACCGGTTCTTTTCTATTTTTTACTTGTCCATTAATGCTGGGAGTCTTCTCTCCACTATAATCACCCCAATGCTGAGAGGTAAACGTTTCTCCTATGTATATGTATAAACTCTTTCTAGAGGACTGCAAGAGACAAAGGTTCCCAGTGGACCTCCTCTTCAGGAGAAAGTATTAAAATGTCTGGATCTTTTTGCGAAAGAGGTTTTTTGAGGACAGTGCCTCAAAACCAGTCAAGTAGGATACTAGGAAGAGTTTTATATAGGGAAGTGTGGGATTAATTTCCCCATTTCATTTTGTGAGAGACTGCACAAAACGGTCCAGACTTGCAATCTTACTCCATATCAAAGGATCATATCACCATCTTCCTTGTGAATGTAATAGACACTATGTGTAGGAGAAAAAGACATTAGTGATTGTTCAGGCAGAAAGCAGAGCCAACATTGCATAGCGGTTTGAGTGTTGGACTATTGCTCTGAAGATTAGGGCTTGGACATGAAAACCTACTGCAGGACCTTTGGGAAGTGACATACTCTTAGGATTAGAAACCCCTGAAATAGTTGTACCTTAGAGTTGCCATAAGTGAAAAACAAAGGTCTACAATTGCAACAAAAGGCTGAAGAAAAAGAGGAACATGGCATTTATAGATGGATAGATTCAATCAAGAACTCCACGGCCTGAGTCTGCAAAATCTGAAAATTTGGTGACTCTCATTCATAGGGTTACCAGAAATTGATTTAGCAGTGGTTAACAACAACAGTGTGTAGGAGTCAGATTGAGATTCTGTGTTTCATTTAATTATGGCTGAAAGGGAACCAAGGCCCCTTATGGCAATGTCGTATAGAGGTTCAAGTGGGGTGGATGGGCAGCTCCACTATGTATGCTGCTTCCAATTGTCCCATAGCTGCCTATTTAGAAGACAGACTTCCTTTTTCAAATTTCTTCTTTCCTTCATTGGTCAGACCCCCCCCCCCCCGCTGCAATTTCCAATTAGAGGATCAGAAGGGATTCTGAAGAAATCAGTTCTGAGAAAACAACAGAAGTAGACTTCCACCAGCACCCAACCCAGTGTGATTAGTGTGGTAGCAACTACTTAAGAGTCACTCAAACATCAGTCCCTCTCTTCAATTTAATGATAGAAAAGAGAAATAACAATAACTTTATTTTTGTACCCTTTCCCCATTTCATCCCCTCGGAGGGACTTGGGGTGGCTTACATGGGGACGTGCCCAGTCAACATAGTTAAAATAAAACACTATAATACATAAATAACAGCATAAAACAGAATAAAACAGCAACATTATAATAAAATATAAGAGCAAACCATCAAACCAACAACCAATGAACCTAATAATCAGTTTCTGGGCATGGGTGGGCGGCCTGGTGCAAATCCATTTTTGAGGATAGGGCTAATGGATAAAGTGCATAAATCAAATGGCAAAATCAGGGATGGAGGACAATGTAGACTGGGGCATTATATCTTAGTGAAGAATAGTAGTAAAGTACAGGGACGAAATTTTACGTCCTAGCTGGGGACAAGTTATCAGGGAATTGTCTAGTCAAAAGCACAATAGAACATCCATGCCCAGGGGACACCCGGATGTTCTGATGTTTTACCATCCTTGTGAGAGGCGTCTCTCATGCTCCCACATGGAGAGCTGAAGCTGACAGAAGGAGCTCACCCCACTCCCTGGATTTTTACCCGCTGACCTTTGGTCAGCAGTCCTGCCAACACAAGGGTTTAACCCATTGTGCCACTGGGGGCTCCAGAGAAACATTTTGGATCCAAGCATTGGCTCTACATAGCAGGAAGGTTATTGTTAGTTATTAATGTGTGGCAGAGCATGAGCTATTTGATAGAGATTCACAGTAATATCACAGTAATATATAAATAGCCTTAATGATTACAAAAATGTAACTGAAACAAATGTTTATAATACACCCCTTTTTAAACATTCCATTTAATACCATATATAAAATAATAGGTCTTTATTTCTTCTTAGTAATCCTTGCTTTAACCATGCAAGACTAATCAATAGCTGTTGTTCTGAATTTGGTTTGAATGTTGGGCCTTGATAGGTTTCTGTTACAAAAAAGAAGGTTAACGATGTTTTCTGCTAATTTCTTTTATTAAGGGGTGGTGTGTGGAATTCACGTGAAACAAAAATGTTACCCTCTGGCATTTGGAGTCCCTGCTATCCTAATGGCTATTGCATTACGTAAGTTTTTTTAAAAAAATTGTTTTACATATTTTGGGGAAGGGACGAATTGCGATGATGTGTTTGTATCTTTTAAAAGGTCGAAATGTGGTGGCTATAAATATAAGGTGGAGGTAATAGAGAAGAAAAGGGTAAAACCAAGATGACATTGGTGACTACATGTTTTAATGGTTTTATATATGTTTTTATATTGTTATGTTGACTGTTTTTAATCGCACTTTTATGAATGCATGGCATCGAATTGTGCCAGTCTGTAACCTGCCTTGAGTCGCTGTATGGTTGAGAAAGGCGGGCTATAAATGTCATAAATGTCATAAACAAACAAACAAACAGACAAAGAAATATTTGAATCCAGGTATACTTAGGAAAGTAACAAATAAGAAAGCAAAGAAGAAAAGAGAAGGAACAGTGAAATAAAAGGATAAGGGAGGTCAAGAAAGATATAAGATGTCATCACCAATGCATATCCATGCATGAACATGTCCATGCACACCTATAAATAAAAGTCAAGTTCCGACATACAGATACAGTTACATTCTGTTTGCTGAAGGAGTGAGCAAAATGAAATAAACGCAAGGTCTTTTGGTACATCATGTAAACTGCTGTTTTCCTCCACCAATGTTTCTGTACTAGCTCTTAGGTTGTGGTAGCTTTCCTGCCCCTTTGCCCCAGGTATCGGATTGTGCTTGCTCTTTCTGAGATTGTAAAAACTTCATTTAAAGGTGGTTTTCTTTATTTCTCTCTCCAGTTGTATTCGTATTAGGAAGTCGAATGTACAAGAAGGTTGAACCTCAGGGCAACATTATGGTCAAAGTTGCTAAATGCATTACGGTAAGCAATGTGTAGTGATCATTTTCAAGGGTCACTGTGTGTGCCGAGGCTTGATCCTGGAAAGACTGCAGAGCTCTGAAAATACATCCTTTTGGGATTGGAACCCACAGGATTACTCAGCCAGCATCAGGCATTTAGCCAGGGGGGGGGGGGCTTGAGGGGCTCCCCCCCAAAAGTCTCATGGTGGTCCGCAAGAAGGCCTTACTGGTACATTATTTGAACTGTTATGTTTATTCATATCATGATCTGATCACCATGCTCAATATATCCCATATGCATGGGGGTACTGGGGTAACGATACAAAAGGTTTGCTAGGGTAGACCCTCTTTCACTTGGACTCAGCCCCCCCCCCCCCCCCCCCGAATCAAACTCAGCCCCTCCTGAATCAAAATCCTGGCTACGGGCCTGGCCAACATGGTTTATGGCCTTTGCCCTTGTGATGGTCCATTTATGGAATGCCCTCCCCTTGGAGGGCTGGTTGATACTGACTTTGGCTTTATTATGATCTCAAGTTTTTAAAGCATGGCTTTTTATTGAAGCTTTTGAAATATAATTGATTTTTTTTTTTGCCGAAATGTGTGTGTACATGGTTTTAAACTCTTTCAATGATATAAATCGTCTTCATTAGAGAAATTATTTTATTGATTGCTATTTTAAATAAGAGGATTATACTTGTACACTATATCTGAGGACAAAGGGTGGGGAGGAGTATTTTAATAGCAGCAATAAAAATGGTAAGACAGAGGATCAACTGGGACTGACACTACCTAATTAGGACAGTTGGAAGGTATGATACGTTGCCATAATATTGTATGATATAGGATTAATTAAATAAAGAACAAACAAAATTTGTGTAGTTAGAATGGAACCTAGTAAGTAGAAAATTATTCACATTTTAATTTATTTTTAATAGTTTTTATATTTTAATTACACTTTTAATTTGAGATTAAATGCTATTAGCCACTTAAGCTTGGTGCTTTGGAAGAAAAGTTGGGCAGATTTCAGAAAGCTTGGATAGATTTTCCTTTTCAGAAACAGATTGTCTCCTTTCTTTCTTTCTTTTGGGATTTTTTAAAACTGGAAAATGATTTGTGAGGAAAAGCATGACCTCTAACTACTTGTTAATTATCTAACATTGTTGTGGTGCAATGGGTTAAACCCTTGTGCCAGCAGGACACCTCTGTGCCAGCAGGACAACAGGTCAGAGGTTCGAATCTGGGGAGAGTGCGGATAAGCTCCCTCTGTCAGCTCCAGCTCCCCATGCAGGGACATGAGAGAAACCTCCCACAAGGATGGTAAAACATCAAAACATCCGGGTGTCCCCTGGGCAATGTTTTTGCAGACGGCCAATTCTCTCACACCAGAAGTGACTTGCAGTTTCTCAAGTCGCTCCTGACATGAAAAAAAAATCTAGTAATAAATACTTGATGTGTTTTAATTTTTGTATAGTTTGCACAATTCTATCCATATTGCCTCTGAACTCTTTGTATTTTTCTACTCTACATGTCAAGAAATAAATGGTATTGACACTAGGTTTTCAAAGCAGTTTGTTTGTGATGTTCCAGAGGGTCTAGATCAGGGGTTCTCAAACTATGGCCCGGGGGCCGGATGCGGCCCTCCAAGGTCATTTATCCGGCCCTCGCTCAGGGTCACCCTAAGTCCAAAACGACTAGAAAGCACACAACAACAATAAAAATCATATCTCATCAGCCAAAAGTAGGCCCACAATACCCATTGAAATACTAATAACTTTATATTTGTTGAAATTGTTCTGCACTTTAATTATTGTATTGTTTTAAAGTTTTGCACAACAAATGAGATATGTACTGTGTGCATGTTTTTTTCAAATTATAATCCAGCCCTCCAGCAGTTTGAGGGACTGTGACCTGGCCCTCTGTTTAAAAAGTTTGAGGACTCCTGGTCTAGATATTCCTGATAGTAAAGAAATATTTAGGACACGGGTACAACCTAAAAGAATGATGTTAATTGAACTAAAGCCAGAAAAACAATAGGGGAAGGCAGGTGATGCTGCAGTTTTAATAGAGGTGCAATCTATTCCAAGATAAAGGTAATATGCTGCAAGTTTTGTTGGACACCACAAATACATTTCTTACACTTCTGTTTGCATTACAGTTTATTAAATCAAGAGAATCATTCTTTCTACAGAAATGTATTAATATAATTGGAAATTAACATTTTGAATTATTTCTTTTGCAGTTTGCTATTGGAAACAGATTTAGGCATCGCAGCAAACAATTTCCCAAAAGGGAACATTGGTTGGACTGGGCTAGTGAGAAGTATGATGTAAGTTGTGTTATTTGTACAGAGCTGTAATACATTTGTCTTTGCACTTTGTATTGACTTGTTCTCCTTCAGTGACATGTCTTAATCAAACCTGTCTAAAGTAGCATCCACAGTATATTGTTATACAGTACAATCTCTGTATCTGCAGGAGGTATGTTTCAAGACCCCAAATCAGATAATAGTGAACCCTATGTTTTTGTTATACTTGGTCCAGAGGCATTCCTTGAAATAGCACTGGAGGACTTAAAGAGGCTCACAAATACTTCTGGGGGGAATATTTTTTTGGAGCGTGGGTAAATGAAACCATGTATATTGAGTCCGTAGATAAGGGGGCTGTATTGTACTAGTTTCCATAGCTTCTTTTGGTGTCTTATAACATTTTACTACATGTTATTACAGTAGAGTCTTGCTTATCCAACCTTCTCTCATCCAATAGTCTGTATTATCCAACGTAGTCTGCGTCCCGCCCGGATCCAGAGCTGTTTCAATACATTGCGATGTTTTGGTGCTAAATTCGTAAATACAGTAATTACTGCATAATGTTACCATGTAATGAACTGCTTCCTTCAATTTGTTGTAAAACGTGATGTTTTGGCGCTTAATTCGTAATACCATAACGTAATTTGACATTTAATAGGCTTTTCCTTAATCCCTCCTTATTATCCAACATTTTCACTTATCCAACGTTCTGCTGGCCCATTTATGTTGGATAAGCGAGACTCTACTGTATTCCCAAGTCCAGTAGTCCAAGGCAAATTGGTCTCTGCATGACCATTGCTTCTAACCTTCAATATTCTTATGTCACAGCAAATGCTACTTTCTCTCTCTGTGTTTGTGTAAATTGCAAAAATGCATCTAGTGAGTAGTACTCTCTAACTGCCAAATGTGTAAGTCCTTAAATAAGTCACGAGGCACGATTGGAAACAGGAGCTCAAAATCAGTAAATGTAATTGACACAGCTGGCAGAGCTGATAGATTTATTTGATCTCTGGAACTGTGATTAAATCAGTAATTTACTGATTAAATCTTTGGCAGATAAGGACTGCCTGCCTGATAACTGGGAGCGTGTTCTGCATGCTCTTTCCCCCAGTTTTGTAACATGGGAATAAATGTTTTGTCTCTTCTCCTGTATCATTAGAGAACCTTGGAGTTCGAATTACGCCCTGTAACTCTGAAACTACACCTGATAAGATTTTAATCCTGACATGTTTTAAATCTTGTGCTAGAATGCACTGTTTGTTCCAAGTTGTTGTTGTTGTTGTGTGCTGCCAACTAATTTCTGACTTACAAAGATCTTATCATGGGGTTTTCTTGGTATGATTTGTTCAGAGGAGGCTTATCATTGCCTTCTTCTGAAACTCAGATTGTGAGACTAGCCCATCGTCACACAGTCTGTTTCCATGACTCAGTAGAGATTCAAACTCTCCAGATTCCTAAGACGTATTTACACTGCAGTTTGACACCACTTTTACTGCATGACTCAATTCTATGAGATTTGTAATTCAACAAGGTCTTTAACCTTTTTGCCAATGGTGCTGTTGACTCATCAAACTACAACTTTCATGAATCCATACCTTTAAGTCATGGCAGCTAGATTGGTGTCAAACTGTATTCATTCGACAGTGCAGACGCACCCCAAGTCCAAAACTCAAACCACTACATCACTCTAGGTTTCATTATTCCAAGAAATATTCCATTTTTTTTATTAAAACTAGTAGGTTGATTCTGCAGGATGCAACTTTGAGGAGTGACTATAGGAGGATGATGGGTAGGCATTCTGTCTCTTAGCTGGCAGCTGATATGTAGCATAATTACCTATGTTGTTAATGTGGGTTCCAGTCTGTGTATGGATTGCTTTGACATTTTGTAGAGTACTTTCATTAATATTTCTTGTATTCTTCCTCTGTTACAGAAACGACTTATTCTCCAGACTAAGATGGTTTTGAAAGTTTTGTTCCTGTATATTCCTCTCCCTATGTTTTGGGCACTTTTTGATCAGCAGGTAACTAAAGAATATTAATAAAGTAGACGACAAAGACGCCGAAATAATTAAAGAGCCAAACAATCAAGAGTACTTTGAGTCCATCAACATGGGCCACTTAAAGGGACACTTAATGTATGGCATTTATTTTATTTATTATTTATTTGCTTCATTTTTATACCGCATTTTTCAGCCCTTGACACCAACCATTTCCATTCCACCGTGATTTCTTTGATTCTAGGTTCCCTTCCACACAGCTGTGGAAGGGGACCTTGAACTGGATTATATGACAGTATGGACTCAAATATCACGGTTCAAAGCAGATACTGTGAGTTATCTGCCTCAATATTCTGGGTTATATGGCTGTGTGGAAGGGCCCTAAGATACACCTTTTTCTCCATATAAAATCTCTCAAAATGGAGTGAGACTAAAACCGTGGGTACATTTTATGTTTTTTGTTGTTGGTGGTGATACTGGTTATTAATGTGTGTCTTACAATCAACAGTGTCTTAGAATTGAAGAAATATAGTAGGTCAGGAGCATATCAAGTCTAAACTCTCTCTAGAAGGCCAAATGACCAGGCTATCATACTTTTAGACTTGTGCTGACAGAAAAATTGTATCTGTAAGGCAAATAGAGTAGTTTTAGGATACCAGGTGATACAAAAATCCATGGCCGCTCATGCCCTGTTTTTTTTTTTTTTTTGTTTTTTTTTACAGTGGCGTTATAAAATAGTATCACATAAATAAAATGGCAAAATCAAAATTGGCTTTTTGGAATTGTTTCCCATACATATTTTCAAACCACCAAAAGTTGAATGCCTAGCTGCAGTATCTATGGATGAGGAGGGCTGACTGTATTCACTAATGTAACATCTGTAAGAAGAGCTTCAGTTAACTTGCAAATTGGTTTCTACATCTTTCCCCCTCCCCCCAAAAATTAACAAACCAAAAAATTTAAATTTTTAAATATTTGTTATTGTATTTTATTTTATAGTTTGATTCCCATCCTACTGGCAAATGGCCTTAGAGCAGTTCATAAAGGGTTTATTTTCACAATCTTAATTACGAATTATTTTCTTAATTTCTTACCAGCATTTCCTTAAATAGCAACACAGTTTTACTCGATGGATAAGTAAAACAAATATTCTTAATATTATGTACACATCAGTTCTGCAAGCATATGTCCTGGCAATATGTTTAATTACAATTATTTGTTAAGATATTAATAATGCTTTGTTTTAAAGGGATCTCGATGGACACTGCAAGCCACAACAATGGATGGAGATTTTGTAAGTTGTTTCTTAAATCCTGGCCTCTCAGCTGAATTCTAATTAGCTGTTTAGAAAGTATTTTTGTGCCAGAACTGAAAACAGATTTGAGTTGCATTTGCTTTTTCCACTCCAGCAGTAACATCTCTAGGGCTGGTGTCACCCAGTGCAGTAACTCCTGATGTCACCCACCCTATGAGACCTGGGGCCTCTTCACATGGGACAAAATAGCCCCATTTTGCCACTTTTATCCACAGCTTGGATGTGGCCTGTCAAGCGCCATCAGACGATGGATGGCAAGCCCTACCCACATTCCTCAAGTGGAGGGGAAGTGCCAGAAGGTGCTTCTTCCTCTATCGTGGAGAGGAAATTGTGTTGGTTAGCTCTGATGGAGCTACCTTCACTTTCCTTTCTTTTTCCCAATATGCTGGGTAAACCCCACACACCTTCCCTTTTGCTGATGACCACTAGCGCAATGGCATGACCTGCGTGGGCATGTGAAGAGGTCATATATCAGAAAATTTGACAAAATCAGCAACAACTAAAACAACATCACAACCTTGTAGTGTGTGTACACAAAAACATGTGATCTGAAGCATCATTTTATTTAGATATTAATGACAGCTATGACTGGAATGCTTGAACGTTAACAGGCCTAAAAAGTTAGTTAGCACAAAAATTTAGATTTAGAGGGATACAGTGCATGTAAGGGAAGCTAATAAAACATGATTTGTGGTTATATTTAACCAAAGGGATATATATTTAAAATAAAAGTTTCTGCTGAAACACTGCAAAAATTCAATAGGTAGTCATTTTTGGTGTCACCCCTCAGATGTGGCATTCATACTGCCCACACCGTGATAATGATGCTACTGCATTGTAGCATGTCGTATGTTCACGTGTATGAATTTGTTTGTTTGTTTGTTTGTTGAGTTATTGATTTATACCCAAGCCTATATTAAAATATCTCAGGGCAACTTATGAAAAGCATTAAACAATCAAGTTAACCTGTTTAGAACAATAAAAATAAATTAAACCATCTAAAACATATTAACCATAAGTTACAAGATATTTAAAGGATTAAAACATTGGGGTGAATGAATGAGGCCCAAGGTCCTTGAATCACTTTTTGAGTTGACTTAGCTTGGCACCCAAATGAAATGGGTGCTGGCACCAAGGGAAAGGCATTCCACCACTGAGGTGCCCCAGCTGAGGCGGCCTTCTCTCATATCCCAATATAGTGTATTAAGGGAGCACCCCCCACTTGGCCCGAGCCAGCAGACCTCAATAGAGATGCACATCTTTAAGTATCAAAGTCCCAACCTGTTTACAGGTTTAAATGTCATCACAAGTACCTTGAATTCAGTTTGGAGATGTATTGGCAGCCTTTGCAACACTCTTAAGAGTGGCATTATATGCCACCTATGTGCCATAATGTATGTCATCAAACAAATGATTTTTGTACTAGTTGCAGCTTCTGAACCCTCTTCAAGAACAGCTCCATGTAGACTGTGTTACAATAGTCTTAACATTCAAAGTATGGACACATGAGCATTTTAACAGTGAGATCTCTCTCTCTTTTCCCCCCTTCAGGGTCTTGTCCAGATTCAACCAGACCAAATGCAGGTATAGTAAACATCTACATTTATATCTTATGCTTTTTCCAATATATATTTTAATGTTGTTTGACTATTCTTCACTTTCTAATGTTTCATTCTCTCTCAACAGACTGTGAATCCAATTCTTATTGTTATAATGGTCCCAATTGTGGACGCTGTGATTTATCCCCTGATTCAGAAATGCCACATAAATTTCACGTAAGTACAAATCACAGTTTCACTTCACTTCTAAGCAGCAATAATCAACCCTTTTTAGTGGAGATAGGGAACATTTCATATCTGAGTTTACTATTAAATGATGTTGATTCGCAAGTCAGCTCCAAAATTGTGAATGAAAAGAATGCACTTGTATATTCAAATATGTACCTTTCCTTGTCAGATAATATAGAATGGGGTTAAGGACACAGGACCCCTGCAAAAGTGGAAAAACATGAATTAAAAATCACAAATTTTTGTAGTAAGTTTTTACCAGAGTTTGGTCATAGAATGGAGGATATAGAGATTCCTAGAAATGATATATGAATCAAATCCACAAATAATCATCAAACCCACAAATGTGGAGAGATGACTGTATACACAACTAACAAACAAGTTACCCTTTTAAACTCCTTTAAATAATCACCCTCTCACCAGTAAATGGGGGAGGTATGCAAACTGGATCCAGGTCTCATGCCACGCGGCCACAAGTTGTGACAAAAGAAAATGCTAAACAATTGAACAATAAATACATATGACAATACAATTTCAGGGTGGGAGGGATGGGACAGCTGAGAAGCAACTGGCCCCCAGCGCTGGTCTGCCCCCGCTTTGTCTGCACTGGCAGAACAAAGTGGGGTCCACATGCAGCTGATCTGGGTACAGGCTGCCGGACCGAGCTGCCCGACCGAGCGCACCAAAAAGTACTGGGTGCGGGGGCTCCTGGGAAGGAGAACCCCAAAGAGAGTATGGTGGGTGAGGTGCACCAGCCGCTGCAACCTCCCTGCCCGGTAAGTTGGGCAGGACATATGTATATACTGTTAGAGCATTCACCCCAATAACTTTGTCCATGGAATTGACTTGAACCAACTCCTCCATTAGGCAACAAGAGGCAACTGCTTCAAGTAGTACAGCTGGGGGCCAGATGTCCCACATGCAGCCCCTAAACTAATCCTGCTATCCTCAAAAAGTGGCAATCATTTCTGGTAGTCTAATAGTAACAGCGGATTTAGTTATGTTTGGGTTATGTCTGCTGCTAAATCCTTGATTTCCCTCTTCTCTATTAGGCCTCTGAGGAAGATGACAGTGGGCATGTTTCTGGCAGCGCTGGCTTTTGTGGTTGCAGCTGTAGTGCAAATACAAATAGATGTAAGTAAAAAAGAAACTACCCAAGTTCTACCAAAGGGAGTTTTATTTTACTTTTAAAACTATAACATAGCTAAATATTGATTTTAAAACATAGGGTACTTAAAATATAATGATTTTAGTTATCACCCTGTACATTGGGAACAAAGAGGTAAGAAATATGCCGCAGTCTATGTGAATGCAAATTGCAGGTTCTGCAACTGTAATGAAATATGTAGAACAAAATTTTAAAGACATTTTTCTTTATTTTAAACATTTTATCATCCATGATTGGTTCAAGATGGCTAAAGAAAAGATAAGATGGGTGATACTGACTGGAGAAGACAGTGAAATGGGATAGGTCATGGGTCAATAAAGTTAGGAATGTTATATTTGGAGACCTAAGTTCTTAGAGGCTCTTCAGATATTTAAAATACGCTGTATTGTTCTGTCGTCTCTTCCCTCTCCAAGACCAAAGGCAACTGCTCTATTTTTCCTAAAAAAACAATAGAAATCCTGGGGTATTATTTATTTGTTTATGATATTTCTAGCCCACCTTTCTCAACCCCAGAGGGGACTCAAGGCGGTTTTACACATAGGCAGCTATTCGATGCCATTGATAACAATTAAAATTGACATTTTTAAATTTGTATGATAAAATACCTCAAAACATTTAAAGACATTTAAACTAATAGCACCACTGTTAAACCATGTTATCCATAATAGTAATCTGGGCCATTCCAATAGTCCTTGCACACCATTCTATATTTGTTGATTGCACAAGTTCCCCAAAGGCTTGATCAAAGAACCACATTTTCACTCTTATGGAAGGTCAGGAGGGAGGGGGCTGATCCAATATCCCAGTGTAGGTAGACTACCTACATTCAGTTCAAGACATCAGCACGTATGATCTGGATCAAGGAATGTATCTGCTGCCAATACTACAGGAGGGAGACAAATTCAGTTGAATCATAAAGGGGAGCCATTTTTCAGGGGTACAATATATGATGTTTCTATGAGCTCCTGCAGAACAGAATTGGGCGAGATGTGCCACTCCAAATGTCATATGGGAAGTCTCATCAATCCGAGTCAATGTCTTCAGTTGTGGAGGGTGATGGGCATTGCCCTCCAGGAACGTCCAGAAGGACACACATTCTTCACTCTGGTGGTAAAGCCACAGCCAGTCAACATAGTCAATCAACTAAATTGGATAGATCAAGGGTTTAACTCAGCTTCGTATTCCCACTGGATAATATAAAATGCTGATCAGGTTCTCAAAATTTTCAGCTCACAGTAGAATCTGCCGGGATGTCTCTCTATTTTTTCACCAGACCAATAAAAGCAAGAATAGACTGTGAGAAAGTTGCTTTAAAAAATGAAATGAAATAGCAACTCCCAGAATCATTTAGTCATGATTACTTCTGCAAGGCAATAGTTATGGAAGAAATTAGAGTTGGTCTGATATGATATAATGTAGCTTTGTTTGTTGCTGATATAAGACAGACTGATGTGGATAATAGTATCAGGTTTACATAAAAAGAAATAAGAGATGGTTGGTTCTTTCCCAATCACTCTGACCCTCTGTTCAGAGGTTTTTCTTCGTTGCCTACAACAGTTTGCTCTTTACTTTCCAGTAGCTGTACTAGGGTGCATCTACGCTGCCGAATTAATGCAGTTTGACACTACTTTAACTACTATTTGTGGTGATTCTATTTATCAGGAGAGGTATGGTGACTATCTTATCAGATACTTGAGGCCAATCGATTTTGTTCTGAAGCAATAGTGTCAGTTCTATATCCAATATATGTTATACTCTGCTGTCGATATGATGACATTTGCTCCCTTTCTCCCACTGCAGAACACGCTTCCAAAGTTTCCTGAAGCAGGCTTTTCCCAAGTCAGAGTAGTAAATCTTGGAAATGAGAATGTAACAGCTAATTTTTATCCTGATGGGAGGAACGTTGAACTGTCTTCTTTGACCTGGGTATGTTTTGAGCATTGGTCTTGTGTTTCATTGCAACCTTCAAAGTAATGTTTGCTGAAGTAAGGTTTCTTACTGTAATGGAAAACCAGTGAACTACTTCCTTCTTATCTGAATTTATTTACATGGTCGAAGTATCATCTGTGGGATGGTATAGCCTTGAAATACACATGTACAATCATTGTCTGTCTTATTAAACTAATCTAAAAGATCTTCTGAGTCAAGAACTACATATTTTGATTCTTGAAAGAATACCATAATCTTTTCTACCATATTCTACATTACCTTCCATTTTTGATGTGTTTTATCTTCTTTAACCTCAATGTTCATACAAAACATATTTGGCTACTTTTTAACTTCTTGGTTGATCCTCAAAAAGGCACTTGCTTCCTTTGTCATCCATAGTCTGAAGGTGACTAGGCAAAAAAACAATATTTTAAAAAATATTCACATGGACCAACCTGGTCAGGCAGCAGCATAGCGTTGTATGGTGTGAAAAATTGAATGATGAAGCACCATCTATGCTTCCATATAATCCAATTTTTGAATCTAGATTATCTGTTTTGAACTTGATTACTTGGCAATGTAGACTCAAATAATCCAGTTTGAAGCAGATAATCTGGATTCAGAAACTGGATTATATGACAATGTAGATCCAGCCCGAGTGGTGTCCTTCATCTTTTAGTTTTGTTTAACCCTCAATAAGGTAGATAATGAATCCTCTAAACTTAAAGTAATGTTGTGTGATAGAATTAATGCAGAACTAGACATAGTGGATATTTTATGGGTTTGTCACATAAAAATCTGTAAAAAAAAATTCTAGCCATCAGATATGTGTATATTTTTTCCATGAAATAATGGCTCCCCCCCTCCCCCCAATCTATATCTGTTGAATTTGTATTATTTATTTATTTAGCAAACAAGTCTGGTTAACAGCTCTTGAAAATGACCTTCCACTTTATGCGAGCCTCTGTTTTCTAGCATTTGGTGTCTGGGTTACTGGATTTGCGTGAAGGTTCCTTCGAGTCACCTGTTGACTTATGACATTGCATAGGGTTTTCTAAGACAAGGAATATTCAGATGTGAAATACCCTTTGTTCTAGTCACAAAAGCCCTTTTAGGATGGGTCATTTTTATGCCCCGCGTTTCACTGGATTTATCATTATGGACACAAAACACCCAAATTATGGTACTTCTTTTAGCTTCTACTTGCTCTTCAATAGTGTCTCTTGAGCCAATTCAATAACTAACACAAAAAGATCTTCCATGTTCCACTTCTTATTTCTAGAGTTGTCATTACCTTTAAGCCTGCTATCCTATGTGTAATTGGGTGAGAAATAGACCCTTTTAATTTATGTTCTTAGTAAAATATTCTGATTTCATCAAATGTCAACATTCTGATGAATCAAGGGCAGGGATGGAATGTTTATGTCTACATAACAGTCCAAAACACATTTAATTAATTAGTGGATTTCCCAGTACTCCATGGGGGAAATTCTTCTGCCTCAAAGGAATATCAAGTGTTTAATTGTTCTTTCTCTTTATGTACAGACAGAATACTTGGACTTTAAAACAACAGAGTTAAATAGTTACCAAAATATTGTTATAAGCAATGGAAGTGGAATTCTAAACGAAACACGTTTTCTTGCTGGAAAAGAACGGCATACTCTTACAATAACAAACAGAGGTGGACTCCAATTTCAACTGGTAAATCTCTTTAATGTCTGTTTAGTGGTTACTTTTTGATGTGAAATAGATGGGTAGTATGAAACACAAAGGACTAGTACATTTACAATGCTCCTGATCTTTGGATACTCTCAGGATATTGTGGGATTGTCCTGCCTTTTTAACGGAATTTTAAAGGGGTGTCCCTCCAGGTGGCATTATATTTAGTTCAGGGTGTCACAGAACCATAGAATAATAGAGTTGGAAGAGACCACATGGGGCATCTAGTCCTATCCCCTGCCATGCAGGAAAAGTACAATCAAAGCACTCCTGACAGATGGCCCATGTGTGGCACTTCTTTTGAACTCCAAACAGAGAGAGTTGTTATATCCCTCCCTGTCCCATCCTAGAAAAAGAGAAATTTGTAGCTGATCACTAACATTTAATTTCTAACATATGTTTTCAGACATCTGTTCTTTTTTTTCTTTAACTTACCAGGAAATAATCTGCAAAATGCCTTTTGATTGGTAGTGCTTGGACTTCCCATATAGAAGCGCTCAGTCAGTTCACCTGAAAATCTAACATTGCTACAATTAACCAGGGTTCCCCTTTCAATAAGATGGTCTTAAACCCTGGTTAGGAAGACACTTTGTTGGCCATTTCCAAGCTTAACACTGTTAATTATGTGAGATTTAAATACAATGAAGGTTGCTGTGCATCAACATAGCCCATAATCCACTTTTAATTGCCCAAATCTTAAGTAATTGTAAACACTGTACATATATGGGTCCGGTGTGACACAATGTGAACATGAATTGTTTCATGGACACTCCATTTAATCATTATTTGTGCAACATTTTGGTCGGAATGAGCCATTTTGGGATATAAAGGACATCTGATGTCACAATTCCATTCTTGATTTGAGAGAACTCCGTTATTAGAAACAAAACATTACGGATAATGAGACTTTGAGCTTTGTGTTTCTCTTAAACAGCTCGTGGATGGAATCGTAGAAAAACCAGAACAAGGAGACAATAAGATCAGGTAATAAGAACTATTTTTTTTCTATTGAATTTAAAAAGATTTTGTTCAAAAGAAAACAGTGGCTTGAATCAGATTCACACTCGTAGAGTTGTTGTGATAGCAAAAGTTGCACCATGTTGTTTTCACTTAACGTCTAGTATCTGGTTACATTCAGTGCATCGCATGAAATCACACTCATCTCCTGCTCATGTGTCATTGGGCCTTCTCTGATCCACTTCACTGAACACTCTTGCAAGGCGATGACAGTCTGATGTGATCATATGTAATGTGCGGGCCATCTCTAGGCATCATATGGAAGAAAGGAGGAAATGGGACTATAATTCCTTTCATTTTGGTCTGGCATCTCCAACCATAAGGTTAATAAGTAAATGTAATCTATCATGCAGTTGCTTCACATTGTAATGGAGCAGAGAATGTTTTTTTTAAATCACTAAACACTTTCAGATCAAAAAATATTCTGGAGAGTGCGTACCAAACAAAACAGCAAAAGCATTAGGAAGACAGCATAAAATATGGATTATAGTGGAACTGCTGTATAAAATATCAACAAAAAGTTTAAAAAATTAAACCATCAATATCTAATGTCCTAATATTCTACTAAGAAGCTGGAGATGCTTCATTTCTGATCTGTGGGTGGGGGAGAGAGGAACACCTTGAGGCAAAATTGCAGCAAAAGTGTTCACAATGCTCCATGAATGTTGGGTGAACTGTAACTCCCATCATTCTGGATTATTCCCCAGCCCTCCAGTATTTAAAGTTGGTCATGAGGGGTGTGTGTGCCAAGTTTGGTCCAGATCCATCGTCGGTGGAGTTCACAGTGGTCTCCAGATGTGGGTCAGCTGTTTACATCACCCCAGATCCAACTCACCCAAACTCCAGCAGTTCTTAAAGTTGGTCATGGGGGTGAGTCTGTATGCCAAGTTTGGTCCAGATCCAAGTTTTGTCGGTGGGAGTCACAGTGCTTTCTGGAAATCTTGGAAATTGCCCAAGAGATACGCACAGACATATGTATGCATACAAAATATGTTAACTTGCATTGTATATATAGATGTATATATCTATATCAATTAAAATGTAATGTTCGTTTGTGGGATTAACATAACTCAAAACTCACTGGGTGAATTGACACCAAATTTGGACACAATATACCTATCAGGCCAATGAGTGACCATCACTCATAAAAACACTGAAAAACACAGCAGAAGAGACTTAAAAAGCAAAAAATAAAAAAAAACCCATTACAATGCATGGGCAAATCCACATATACACACAAAAAACACATACGCACACTCTGTGCCACAGCAACGCATGGCAGGGGACAGCTAGTAGATAAATAGATAAATGTGTATGAGTGTCAGGGAAAAATAAAATTCAGCCCTTCGCCATACACTCCAGAAAGAATGATGCTCTGAATGATGCACTTCCCCCCGAATGATCCTTCCTATGTGAATTTTGCTCACTTCCTATTTCTTAAGGCCTGAGATTTTCTGTTTGCCAGATGTCAGCTTATTAACTATAGAAGTGTATATATGCATGTGTTAGAAGACATTTAAAGTTCAAACCCTTATATATGATCATTCACTTGGGTACAAAGGAGAAAATAGGAAGAAAATACTGTAATTCAGGCATGTGTGGTTATCAATAGAATTGGAGCTCAATTTATTTTGAGTACATATGGCACTAATGAAGTGAATCTGGTGTGCATCCAGGGAAGTGTGCTCTGCATTGTATTGCAGGGAAGACGGCTGTGCATTGCAGAATTACCATATTTCTTAATTTCTAAGACACTATCATTTGTAAGGTGCACACTATTTTCAGTATTACTAACAGAAAAAAAAGTCTTTACCCACGCATATATAAATGCATTTGCAATTCTAAGACACCCTGTTTTTAGGTATGGGAAAAAAGTGCATCTTAGAATATTTTTTTTTTGTCGTGTCAGGAGTTGCTCCTGTTGTGAGAGAATTGGCCGTCTGCAAGGACGTTGCCCAGGGGACGCCTGGATGATTTGATGTTTTTATCATCCTTGTGGGAAGCTTCTCTCATGTCCCCGCATGAGGAGCTGGCGCTGATAGAGGGAGCTCATCCGCCTCTCCCCGGATTCGAACCTGTGACCTGTCGGTCTTCAATCCTGCCGGCACAGGGCTTTAACCCACTGCGCCACTTCGCTGGTGTAGACAACACCTTTCTAAATCCTCCTGCCTTTATCTCTGGGAAAAACAGATTCAAAACTAGAGAAATCAGATCTACTAAAGAGCTTATTAAAGTTGCTATAAGTAAAGTTGAAGATTCATTTAACTTAATTGAAATACAGTTATGCCATGATACTATTTTAATTTCTGTGGTACATAGTTTATAAACAGTTGTGTTTTAATGCAATATGTTTATCTCTTTTCTTTAAAAAAAGATTCATAAACAACATGGATGTACCTATCAATATCTCTATGGGTGGTACTGATTTTCCATATGTGTCGTATTTTTCTGCCACAAACTACACAAATTATCAAAGAGGAAAGTAAGTATTACTGCTATTTCACACTTTTGAAGCAAAGTTGTGTTGGGGGTTTGAAATGTTTTATTGGAATGCTGTTTTCCCTGCTGTTGGAAAGTATTTTTATTTGCTTTTTGCATTATATCAGAGGTGTGAAACTCATTTTCACTAAGAGCTACATCAGCCTTATGGTTGCCTTTAAAGGGCCATGTGTAATTGTATAAGTGTATAAATGTAGTTATATCACCCTGAGGTGACGGGCCAGATTTGGCCTGTGGGTCTTGCATTTGACATGTGTGCCTTATGTCATTTTTATTATCTAAATTTGCCTCTCAAAGTACAGTGAACCTTGTTTTATTGCATAAATGGCGTAAATGCATGAATTCAAGCTATCACTATGTGAGAGTTCAGATGATTGGCTTTCCATATAGCCTACTGTTAATGCCAACAGTGTCCTTAACTTACAGTTCTACAGTACTTTCCAAAAGCACATAAGTACTGTTCAGGTAAAGTACAACCTCTGTACTGCTGAGAGATATGTTCTCAGACTCTGCATGGATATGCAACACCATCCATAATAGCAAACTATTGAAATGAGGGACTGCTGGCCCAAGATTATCACAGTCATGCTCTCTAGAAAATGTATAGAGAAGGATGTATTTTGTCAGATAAATTAAAATGCTCCAGTGGATACAGAGTACAGTAGAGTCTCGCTTATCCAACGTTCTGTATTATCCAACGCTGTCTGTCTCCCACCAGGATCCACAGATGTTTTGGTGCCGAATTCCTAAATACAGTAATTACTACATAACGTTACCATGTATTGAACTGCTTTCTCTGTTGATTTGTTATAAAACATGATGTTTTGGTGCTTAATTTGTAAAATCATAATGTAATTTGATGTTTAATAGGTTTTTCCTTAATCCCTCCTTATTATCCAACATTTTTGCTTATCTAATGTTCTGCTGGCCCGTTTATGTTGGATAAGCGACTCTACTGTACTTAAATTTACAATACCTTACAGAAGTGTTTAGCCACCAACCCTTTTGACTTTTCCACATCTGAAATTGAAATGAATTAAGTTTCTGTTTGGGCCACTTGAAATATACAAGATACTCAGCACTAGGAAAGTGCAGAATACATTTATTGTGGCACTGTATGTCAACAAAAACAAGTTGGCATTGTTTTTTCAGGATTTTGGACACTGCATTCTAGCTGGATGCTCGGTCTCCTTGGCTTGCCCGCTTCCCATCAGCTTAACCTACACGTTTTCGACTAAGAATCCCTTGCGTTTGCTTCTTATAATGCTTTCCTTAAAATTGGAAACAATACAGTCCATGGGTTGTTGCGAGTTTTCCGGGCTGTATGGCCATGTTCCAGAAGCATTCTGTCCTGACGTTTCACCTGCATCTATGGACAGGCATGCAGGCAAAACATCAGGAGAGAATGCTTCCGGAACATGGCCATACAGCCTGGGAAATTCGTAACAACTCAGTGATTCCGGCCATGAAGGCCTTCGACAATACACTGATACAGTTCATTTTGGTCACAGAAAACAGAAATACATTATGCAGCACTGAGAGAATATTAGTACTATTATTACATGTATTTGTACCCCCCTTTTCCAAATAATGTGAACAAACAACATTTATGTTGCTACTTTTAATTCCAGTCATTCCAGGAAGTCTAATATTAAATTTCTAGAGTATTCATATTTTTTCTATTTTTTTCCCCAGAAAAGATATTACAATTCGCACAGATAACTACAACTGCACAACAAGGTCTTTGCCATTTGGATTTGGCAGCGCTTATACTATTATAGTAGAGGGGGTAAGTTATGAAAAACAAAGAGTTTGGAGATTCCTGCAAAATTTTCTTTGATTCATGTTTGGGCAATGCTGTGTTTGCTGGTCCCTATGTTGACTTGTCCACAGCTGCATGGTATACGTTAGACTCCTGCAGAGGTGAGAAGATCCCTCTTGCCCTTTGCTGAATGTAGCATTTGTTGGATTTCCTTAGTGGGTCTGTAGATAGTTTGTAGGTTGTGTTTCCTCATCAGATTCCCTATGTGGTCAGTGGTTCCCTTGATGTATGGCAAGAACACTTTTCCTCTGGGTGGATCTTTGTCTTTAATCTCATGGCTTGTTCTTGGTCTTTCGGCTCTTCTCATGTTTGTGGTGGAGTATCCATTGGCCCGTAGAGCTCAGTTAGGTGGTTCAGTTCACCTTGGGCTGATAGATATCTTTTTCTCATGTCTAATGTGCCTTTACTCTCATGTTTCCCACTGGAGTTGTGCATGGTGGCAGAAAAAGAATGCAGTATAAACATTTTAATTCTTTTTTTTAAAGAATGCTAAACATTTAATTATTCTGTATAATTAATGTAAACTGGCTTTTCTTTCCAGTGTGATGGCAATGAACTAAAACTCAGATATATTGAAGATATTCAAGCCAACACAGTCAGTATGGCTTGGCAAATCCCCCAGTATTTCCTTATGACTTGTGGCGAAGTTGTCTTCTCGGTGACTGGGCTATCATTTTCATACTCGCAGGTAACTTAATTACTTCTGTAATAGTTTCAGCTTTAACTATAGTCCTGAAATACTGATAAACTGGGTAAACACTGAAACAGTTTCCAAGGAAAGGCATATAATCGTACTTAGAAGTAGGTTTGTGACACCTAGATCAAATGGTCTTTGAACATGGTATATTTCTCTTCAGTTGCACATTTGTCATAAGCCCCTTCTACATATGGCAGTATAGAAGGGGCCACAGTCAGATGCAGTGTGATTCTCATGTTATATACAAAATGTTTGCCATGGAGAAATTAATTTAACATTTCATATAAAAGTAAAGCTATACAAATATCCAAATTCTGTTGCATTTATGTTTGATTCCAGAATTCTAGAACACATATAACACACATAACATATGCATATATACACATACAAACACAATATTAGTATGACATCAGTCAGGGCTATCGGAGGAATTTAAAACCCATTACAATGGCATAAATAGATACAACTTTAAGTGCATTTTTCTAACAGTTACAGAGTTTTTAAAACTATAGTGCAAAATGTTTTGTGAATGGGCACTTCCATGATAACCATTTTGTGACAGCTACCTTAATATTTTCAACATTTAAAATCCACCTATGAGCTGAGAAAGGTTGGAAGTCAACCACATCCTATACAAGGCTATTGTCCTCATCTAGGATTTAGCCAGGTAGAGGAGTTAACTGATAGGGAAACTTACTTACTTAGGCGATCCCTCATAGCACAAGGATGATTGTCTTCCAGATGTAGTGGTGGGTCCGTAGGTGGCTGTGGAGCCCTATTCTTGATCCGCTTGTTCTCCTGCACTGAGGACATTGGTTTCCAGGTGGAAGGCGGTCCCGGTCAGGGTTGGCTTGACATGCTTTCCTCTTGTCACATTTCTCCCTTTCGCCCCCCATTCGTGCCCTCTTCAAATTCTGCAGCACTGCTGGTCACAGCTGATCTCCAGTTAGAGCACTCAAGGGCCAGGACTTAAGCCCATCTTTAAATCTCTCTTCCTGTCCACCAACATTCTGTTTCCCGTTCTTGAGTTCAGAGTAGAGTAACTGCTTTGGGAGATGGTGATCGAGTATTCAGACAACGCGGAGAAATGACAGGTGGACAAATGTCAGCGTGCTAGAAGAAGCAAAGACCACCAATATTGAAGCGATGCTCCTTGGCCATCAACTCCGCTGGACTGGCCATGTTGTCTGAATGGCAGGGAAAAGCCCTTCCCCTATTGGTGTCTCTGTCTGCCTGTCACTTTGTTCTCTCCTTCTATCACTTTGCTTATGAGACTGATATTCTGTTTCCCCAAAAATAAAACATACCCATAAAATAAGCTGTAGCAGGATTTGGAAGCATTCACACAATATAAGTCATACCTCAAAAATAAGATGTAGTGATAGGTGTGGCCAGGCTTGTAGCGAGGGGGTGGTTTTAGGGGTTCAAACCCCCCCAAAATGTTTCAGATTTTTTTTAAACCTGGTTTACTCATGAATTTTAACTGGTTAACCAAATCCCCATGCTAAGTCTATGAGATGTAAAAAATTAAGAGTTCCTCCAGAACTGTAAGCACTATCTCAAGCAAATATTGACAATTTATTTACACTGTCATTACTTGCAGCAATAGCCGATGTAGTGAAGCAACCAAGTTGGGGGTGTGTGTGTTGAATGCTCTCATTAAGGAGGGCAGACTTGGTGGAGGTGGTTGACAGGAGTTGAGCTGCAGGCTACTGAAGGTTGCTCTGCCCCCCTGCTGTGCTCTTTGCTTCAGCGTGAGCTAGGAGGCAGGTTTCAACCCGCCTCCTCCAAAATTTTCAACCCTCCCCGAAATTTTCAAACCTCCCCCTCCCCCGAAATTTTCAACCCTCCCCAAAAAAATTTTCTGGCTGCGGCCCTGGGTGTGGCTATGCAGCTTACTGGCGCAGAGCAAGAAAGAGGTCAGCCCCATCAACAAGGTCAGTCCCTCGGCAGGTTCTAGTACTTCTGTGTGTGTGCTGCAATCTGAGGCATAAAGGGAGACATAGAAAGTCTTGACATGAAAGATTGAATAACTTTTTAAGCTTGATCCTGCTCCTGAATGGTTTAAGCTCAGTCACTCTACTGCTGGCACTAGAAGCTTCTGTACTGCTGCTACTGCTGTTATTTCTGCTTTATCATTTTTAAATGCTTTTTCCTTTTGGAAATGACCCCCCTACACATGCAATTGAATTAAATTACACATTTTGATTCTGTAGGCACCTGCAAACATGAAGTCTGTGTTGCAAGCTGGTTGGCTGTTGACTGTGGCTGTTGGCAATATCATTGTCCTTATTATAGCAGGAGCATCAAAACTAGAGGAACAGGTAAAGTAAATAATAAACTGTTCAAGAAACTGTAACTGTTACAAGTGTACATGAAGGTATGGGAAAGAGCAGCCATACAGCTATTTTACTATGCCAGAGCTGTAATTTTATTACAGTGCAGAACATGGGGAGGTGCTGCTATGATATTTGACTGGAAACAAATCCAGCACTGTCTCCATAAGTCATAAAATTACTTCTAGATGCTAACATCTGAAACTAGCAATTAATGTTTTGTTTTGTTTTTTTTAAAAAGAAAAGACAAAATGCTTGCTGATGAGTAGGCCACTTCTGCAAGCTTAATGGTCACATCTGGCATTTGAGGCTAAAAAATTAGGACCACCTATAATATGAAAAACTGGTATTCTTTGATGTTAACAGCACAATAATATACATAGCTACTGAGAAAGAAATCCCATTAAGCTGTTCTGATATTAGTTTTCATAACATTTATATTTAAATCTTTCAGTCTGCTTAGAATGATCCTTCATGGATACTGCTGTGTTTTGTGCATTCCCCAAGAGTTGCATGCAAAATTCGTTCCTACTAGGTTCTTGTGGGTTTTTTCGGGCTATAGAGCCATGTTCTAGAGGCATTTCTCCTGACGTTTCTACTGTTCGTTCCTACTGTTTCTACCATTTTTTTCATGTCTTCCATTTCTTATGAAGCACGAAATGGGAAGCCTCCTCCCCACACGAAAATTTGCTCGACATGAAAGCCTGCTTTTAGCATCCAGAAGTAATTTTAGAGCTTATGGAGACTCTATTGGATTTGTTTCCTATGATTAGGCATCATGACTAGGATACATCAGATAAGGGGTACTCAACCTGTGTTATAACACATCCATAAGCTTTTCTGCCCTCACCCTCACTCTCACCCCAAAAAGAGGTAATATTCTAGATATTGGACAGTCCAGTGCCTCATTCCCAGAAGTGAACAATGACATTGAGTTATTTCTTGCTTTGTCACATGTGGTCTATGCTAACATCTGAAACTTGAAGCTCATACAACTATTTATATTAACGGATAATAATCTGTTTTTTGAATTCATGAAAAAGTTTTTTAAAAGTTTATTTGCCAGCAACAGTGCGAAGTGCAAAAATCTACTCTAAATTTGTCTTTCTTGCTTCTTTTTTCTTTTTGCAGTGGACAGAATATGTTTTGTTTGCCAGTTTGCTTCTCGTAGTTACTGTCATTTTTGCCATCATGGCCTATTTTTACACCTATGTGGACCCAGCTGAGGTTGAAGCCCAACTTGTAGAGGAGGAAAACAAGAAGCGTGAAAAGGGTTTACCACTGCAGGAATATGGATCCACCGCACAGACTAAGATGTGAACACATATGGAAGGGCCGAATGTGAGACTGTGGGCTGCTATCCCAAGAACTGTGGGTCTCTAGTTTGAGACCTGTGTGTGCCACTCTGTTATTGGCGAAGCTGGGCAGAGGTGCATTCAGCGCGCGTCAGGAGAAGCCCCACATCCTTCTGGGGCCAAAGATCAGGAAATTTGTTCTGTGAAGAAAATGAAGAAAACCCCGGTTCTTCCTCAGAAGATTTTGCACTTTAAAAAAAGGAGAGGGGTTTGAATCCAACTTCACCTGCCACAATGAAAAGATATTCAAAGTATTATTTTTATACAGGACGGCTTTAATTTTATATTGTAAGCAAAGGAAAGTACTCCCAGATCTAGGCACTTGTTTTCCAAGTAGAGTACTGGGGGATTAAAGGGTTTTGAATGTTGCCATGCAAATAATGAATGTATTTTTCCAAAAGACATGCACCTGAGCCAGCTGAATGTTTACAATCCTTGTGTTGCACAATAAACCTCTTCCTTCAGTTTCTTCTGGAGGATTCTGCCAAAACTAAATTATTGTGACAACAATGATAGAAATGAACAAAGAGGAATTTTAAAAAGTGAAATAAATCTTTGATTGTAACAGTTTAGAGTCAGAATTTACTTTCTTTAAAGGAGAACAAACTACTTCACTATTGTCCAGATGGGTTTTTTTTAATGTCAGGAGCGACTTGAGAAATTGCAAGTCGCTTCTGGTGTGTGGCGTCCAGGTGGGTACAGAGTGTCCATACACATCATCTTTGGAAAACACTGGTATGTTGTTCAGATATACTTTCTCTGCAGCCAAAAAAAAATCCATCCATATTTTTGCAAAGTAAGTGGCACAGATGGTGGAAAACCTGCGATCCAACAGATGATGCTGGCTTCCCACACATGAACATCATTCCTGATCAATAGCTACACTCAGTGCTGATGAGACCTGGAGTCTGTCAGAGTCTTACAGTCTTAGGATCCTCGTTCCTGGCTACAAGGGAGTCTTTTTTCTATTTTAGGTAGTAGTGGGGTAGAGTTGCCCTCAAATATGTTGCTAGAAATTGAAAGACATTTGAAGAATTAGACTGAAATGATAATGGTGACAGCAATGTATGGTTTTAAGACAGGAGTGGGCAACTTGTGGCCTCACTGATGTTACTGGATTCCAGTTCCTATAACCCAGGCAAACGTCGGCCCTCCATGTGTTTTGGACTTCAATTCCCACAATAACTAACAGCTTGCCGGCTTCAATTGTGGGAGTTGAAGTCCAAAACACCTGGCGGGCCAAAGTTTGCCCATGCCTGCTATAAGTCCTGCTTTTGGCTGGATCTACACTGCTCTATATCCCAGGGTCCCAGATTATCTGGCAATGTAGGCTCATAATCCAATTCAAAGCCTTGCAAAAAACTTAAGGAAATACTTGATCAACAAGGGAAGACCTTGTTAGTGCCTGGAATTACCTGTAAAACTGTGGTTACTTGAATTATTTGGAAAATGAAGAAGATGGGGAGAAAGTGGGAAGTTACAGCTTTGCAGGTCCCCTCTGGCCGTTCACTGGAAGAGGGATAGCCAGCAGCTTGTGGGTGGGGAAGTGAAGAAAAGTGATGACCACAACAATATGTACATGTCTCAAACTTGCTGTTGCGGTTGGTCTATTGCACTACATTGATTTTTTTTTTTGAAACGCTTTCTGCTGCCTAAATATGAGAGTCTCTCTCTCCCCACCCCTTTTATGGAGGACAGCCTAGCAATGAGTTGAACATTGGTTTGAAGTGACAACCCCCAGTGGCACAGCAGGATAAACCGCTGAGCTGCTGAACTTGCTGACCAAAAGGTTGGCACTTCAAATCCGAGGAGTGGATTCGAACCACCAATCTAACAGTTCGAAAACATACAAATGTGAGTAGATCAATAGGTACCACTCTGGCGGGAATGTAATGGCGCTCCATGCAGTCATGCCATCCACATGACCTTGGAGGTGTCTATGAACAACGCCAGCTCTTCAGCTTAGAAATGGAGATAAGCACCAACCCCCAGAGTTGGACATGATTAGACTTAATGTCAGGGGAAACTCTTTAGCTACTAACCATGATATTGTGCAATCACAAGAATGCCCTTTTGTGGCTGGGGCTTCTAATGTATGATCATGAAACAATAAAGGAGCATAATTTAATACATTTTGAAAAAAAGTCAAATAATACATCTCAGTGACGTGATACACATCAGTGTACTAAACACTGTATTTAATGGGGTGTTTATATTTAAGATGATAACGTCGAGTCTAACATTAATGGCATAATTGCTACTCCGTGGCACATATTTTCTAGAATATGGAGATGGATGATCCTAGCAACCGGCCGCAGAAAAGCAGTGAAGAAAGATGTGGCTATGAAATTCTTCCTTGGCCTAATTAGACTGCCTTTGGTGTCGTTACGTTTTTGCAATGAGTTTGATCAACACCAATTATTTTAATTTTTGAAGAGTTTGGCTCTGGGTGTGACACAGTAACTAGGTTAACGCAGAAACTTAAGATAATTGATCATCCCACGAAAGGAATTCAATGATTGCCTAGGGAAGGATTGTTATGAACAAATCCAAGATTTTCTTGTTATCTATGCAAATACATAGAATCCTATTGAGATTAGATTTTCGAAAAAAAAAATTGCTTTCATTGTTATTTACCATTAACCCATTCACAGCAACAAACTAACTGAAGGGATATTTGCATCCTAGTTTATGTAAGACACTGGTGTGATTTACTCTGATGTGTTTCTTTTCTTGTTCTTGTATTTAAGCGGCAAACATTAAAAATCATTGCGGCGGCATGGAATACACACACAAAGAAAAAATTAAACTGGAATTCGCTGTCCCTTATTTACTATGGCAGATTTGTAAAGTGGAAGCCAGTGTGGCATAATGGTTTGAACACTGGACTATGGCATTGGAAAACAGGTGTGAATCCACACTTGGACCTTTTAAGTTAAAAACTCTTGTGATAGATTTACCTTTGGGTCTCCATAAGTCAATAATGACTTGAAGGCATACAACAACCCCATTAGAATCATAGAGTTGAAAGAGACTCCCCTATCCAGCGCTCTGACATGCAGGGAAAGCCCAATCAAAGCACCCCTAATGGATGGCCATCCAGCCTCAGCTTAAAAGCCTACGAAGGAGCTTCTACCACACTCTGAGGCAAAGACCCACTGCTGAACAGCTTTCATGGTCAGAAAGTTATTCTCCAGGGCAGCAGAAAACAAGCCTGCTCCCTCTTCCTTATGGCATCCTTTCACATATTTATACTAGGAGCCCCCGGTGGCGCAGTGGGTTAAACCCCTGTGCCGGCAGGACTGAAGACCCGACAGGTCGCAGGTTCGAATCCGGGGAGAGGCGGATGAGCTCCCTCTATCAGCTCCAGCTCTTCATGTGGGGACATGAGAGAAGCCTCCCACAAGGATGATAAAACATCAAATCATCCGGGCGTCCCCTGGGCAACGTCCTTGCAGACGGCCAATTCTCTCACAACAGAAGCGACTTGCAGCTTCTCAAGTCACTCCTGACACGACCAAAAAACAAACAAACATATTTATACTTGCCTATCATGTCTCCTCTTAACTTTCTCTATTGCAGGCTAAACAGACCCAGATCTTTAAGATGTTCCTCATAGGACATGGTCTCCAGGCCTTTGATCATTTTAGTCACCATTCTCTGGACACCTTCCTTGTCAATATCTCTCTTGAATTGTGGTGTCCAGAATTGGACACAGTATTCCAGTATTCCAGGTGTTTCTGCCCAAGGCAGAATAGAGGGGTAACATGACTTCCTTCAATCTACACCAGGCATCACCAAACTGTGGCCCTCTGATAATGCAGCATTTCTCATTAGGAACCACATCCACTGTTTTAACATTGTGAGATGTATTCCACACTGGGCAATTTCCCACAGAATACTAAAAGTACAAGAGTGTTGGGACGATGTGAGCTTGCAACATCATTTAGAAAGAAAGCAATGTCTGGAAGGTCTGGAGTACAAGCCCTATGAGGAGCAGCTTAAAGAGCTGGGCACGTTTAGCCTGAAGAAGAGAAGGCTGAGAGGAAACATGAGAGCTATGTATAAATATGTGAGAGGAAGTCACAGGGAGGAGGGAGCAAGCTTGTTTTCTGCTGCACTGGAGACTAGGACGTGGAAAAATGGCTTCAAACTACAAGAAAAGAGATTCCACCTGAACATTACTTCCTGACTGGGAGAGCTGTTATGCAGCGGAACTCTCTGCCCTGGAGTGTGGTGGAGTCTCCCTCTTCGGAGGCTTTTAAACAGAGGCTGGATGGCCATCTGTTGGTGGTGCTTTGAATGCGATTTTCCTGCTTCTTGGCAGGGGGTTGGACTGGATGGCCCACGAGGTCTCTTCCAACTCTATGATTCAATGTATTGTTGAAGGCTTTCATGGCTGGAACCACTGGGTTGCTGTGAGTTTTCCGGGCTGTATGGCCATGTTCCAGAAGCATTCTCTCCTGACGTTTCGCCTGCATCTATGGCAGGCATCCTCAGAGGACCTCACAACCTCTGAGGATGCCTGCCATAGATGCAGGCGAAACATCAGGAGAGAATGCTTCTGGAACATGGCCATTCAGCCCGGAAAACTCACAGCAACCTAGAATAAAAGCAGTCTGGCACCACTTGCAATGCTGTGGGATCATGGGAGCTGTAATACTGTAGCACTCATTGGCAGGGAAGGCTGAGGGGTTTTTATGAAACTACAACTCCCATTTTTTTCGCGTCAGGAGCGACTTGAGAAACTGCAAGTCGCTTTTGGTGAGAGAGAATTGGCCATCTGCAAAGGACATTGCCCAGATGTTTTGATGTTTTTTACCATCCTTGTGGGAGGCTTCTCTCATATCCTCACATGAGGAGCTGGAGCTGACAGAGGGAGCTCAACCTTCTCTCCACGGATTCGAACCCGACCTGTCGTTCAGCAGTCCTGCCGGCACAAAGGTTTAACCCATTGCTCCCCCAGGGGCTCCCCTACAACTCCAATGCTTCCACAGCCTTGAGTCAGGGCGGTTTAGAGTGGCAGCAATACCCTTCGCCTACAAAAGTGGAAGACCTCGCGAGACTACGACTCCCGGGAATCCATGGAGGGGGGAATGAGAAAGAGAGAGAGAGAGAGAGAGAGAAAGCGACTGGCGTGGTGACGCTCTGGGGAGGCGGGGTCTACACGGCCCCGCCCCTTCCGTGACGTAGGAGGCATGGTGGCAAAAGCTCCTCCCCTTCTCTTCCTCTGCGCATGCCCGCCCAGAGCAATTAAGAGTGGCAGCAATACCGTCTGGGTACTAAAGTGGGAGACCTCGCGAGACTACGACTCCCGGGATTCCATAGTGGTGGGGCGGAGATGAGAAAGAGAGAGAGAGAAAGCGACTGGCTTGGTGACGCACTCGGGAGGCGGGGTCTACACGGCCCCGCCCCTTCCGTGACGTAATGCCGGGTGGCAAAAGCTCCTCTCCTCCGCTGCGCATGCCCGCCTCTTTCTCTCTCTCTCTCTCTCTAGTTAAGAGTGACAGCAATACGCTTTGCCTACAAAAGTGAGAGATCTCGCGAGACTACGACTCTGCATTCCGTAGTGGGAGGGGAGGAATGAGAAAGAGAGAAACCGACTCGCTTGGTGACGCACTCGGGAGGCGGGGTTTACGTGGCCCCGCCCCAACCGTGACGTAGAAGGCCGGGTGGCGAAAACCCCTCCCCTTCTTGCTCTGCGCATGCCCGCCTCTCTCCCTCGCGCTCTGTCTCTCTCTGTGGGGCGCTGCTGGGGGCGGGGGAGGGAGGCGATGGGGCTGAGGTGATTCCTCCTCCTCCCCTTCCTCCTCCTCCTCAAGCGAAGGCCACGGCGCTGGAGAGGCAGCGGGAGCAGCAGCGGTGGCGGAGGAAGAGGAGGCGGCGGCGGCGGGGCTTCCGCCGTCATCATGGCCCACTCGCCGGTGCAGCAGCCGGGCCTGCCGGGGATGCAGGTGAGCCTGAGGAAGGGGCCTTTCGTCGTTTTCCCCGCCGCGCATGCGCGCTCGCCTCCTGCGCAGCCCCTTCTCCTGAGGAGGCTCCTCTCCAGGCAGGCTCTCCTTGGGAAGGGCCTTCAAGGCTCGAGGAGGAGGCGGCGGGGCTTGCAATAGAGGCACCACAGAGTGACCACTCTTTCCCCAGGAAGCCAAGCGGCATTTGTGTCTCTGTGTGTGCATACTTTGCCTGTGGGTTTCCTCTCCCTTGAGTTAGGGGTCGCCATCCCTCCCCCCTCTCCCCCCCTCCTTCCCCTGCTAACATCGATTATATCCCATTTCCACCCTGCTTCTCTCTCCTAAGGGCTTGCACAGTAATTGGGTTTTTCATGCACTATCCAGCCCTAAACAAAACCCCTGCAGTTCAGAAGAGTTGACCTTCAGCGTGTCCTGGATTATAATAATAATAACAATAATAATCTGAAGTGCCTCCCTCCCTTTGCCCTTGTTGGATAGATGTACAGGCTTCTTGTTTACCTTTTTCTTCCTTGTATTATCTATCCTGCTGTCCATTTCGGGCAAGTCAACACTGAGATGGTGTCCTTGAGGCAATATTTGTTGTGGATGGGAGTGCATTGGGTGGGATTGTTTTAAAGCAGGCATGGGCAAACTTCAGTCCTCCAGGTGTTTTGTACTTCAACACCCACAATTCCTAACAGCCGGTAGGCTGTTAGGAATTGTGGGAGTTGAAGCACAAAACACCTGGAGGGCTGGAGTTTGCCCATGCCTGCTTTAAAGGATAGATAGGACAGCCTCCCTCCATGTTCTGGCCTAGCAAAGAGGAAGAGGTGGGTGCACACACCAGATATAGTGACCTAGTGGTAACATTTCTTCCTGTCCTTCAGCGGTTGCAGCAGCAGAAAGCAGCCCCTTGGTCTTGTTTTGGCTGGAAAGATTGGACATGCACAAAGGGAGGTAATAGAAAGGTGGGCTGGGCTGTGGAGAAGTGTGCTTCCTTTTCTTCCTAAGGCATGCCTGTGGGGGAATGAAGGGGAGGAATATTCGGGGTGCAAGCTTCAGGGAGTATATGGAAATATATTTATCTTTGGTGGAGTTAACCAGGCATCTTCACAGAAGAGAACAAGTCTTGTTCTGAATATTGAACTACTAGAATCATAGTGTTGGAAGAGACCTCGTAGGCCATCCAGTCCAACCCCTTGCCAAGAAGCAGGAAAATCACATTCAAAGCACCTCAATAAATGGCCATCCAGCCTCTGTTTAAAATCCACCAAAGAAAGAGCCTCCACCACAGTTCGGGGCAGAGAGTTCCAATACTGCATACTAGCTCTAAGAAAAGCGTGAACTGAAGGACTGATAATTTTCATTGCATTTCCTTAAATGAAAGGCTTAGGGTGAATCTAGACCATGGAATTGATATAGTTTGGCACTATTTTAACTGCTGTGTCTTAATGCTTTGAGATCCTGGGAATTGTGGTTTGGTGGGACACCAACACTCTTTGGCAGAGATGGCTAAAGGTCTTGTATTACCACAGCATTCATAATTCCAAAGCATTCCAAAGCATTGAGCCGTGGCAGCTAAGATAGTGTCAGATTGCGTTAATTGTGCAGTGTAGATGCATCCTTGCTTAAGAACTTCCTGCTGCAGAGTTCATTACTTCCTGTCTGACAGCCCCTGTGCATAGCATTAGCTAGGGGCCAAGTTCACTGGTTAACAGCAAGTGAAAGCTGTATATATCCTGTGATATAAGTAGAGAAAATACATTAGACCCACAGTATTTATAACAGCAGTGGGTACTCGGTTTGCCCCCCAGAACAACAGCCTGCTGTCTTCATAAAAACCTCCTCCTTATTCACCCATAGTTGTGCATAGCTCTTCCCCACTTCCATTCTCAAACACACACACACAGAATTCAAGATCCAGTCTTTAGTTAATTTCTCCCTCCCATACCCTGGATCAGAAAGATATTGCTGCATACAGGCAGCTTCAAGTTACAAACAACTCATAGTTGCAAACGAGCATGAAACAACAGGAAGTAAAAGAAATATACCCTTCGGAAGGGAAATTCACTCCTATCATGGGGAAAATATGTCTCCACTAAAATTTTATCACTAATCCTTGTTTCCTCAACAAGCCAATTTTTTCCAAATCACAGGGACAGAAAGTGAGGTGAAATCTTCTGTACAGGGGCACAGACAGTAAAGCAAGCACCACAGGGGTGTTAACCCTTCCCTATGCCATCCAAACCTCGTTCTCTCTTTCTCTTTTTCTCTCTCACTGGAGTCACACTTAAAAATGTAGCTGTTCCAACTTACATACAAATTCAACTAGAGAACACACCTACAGAACCTACGTTATTTGTAATTTGCGGACTGCCTGTATACTCATAGTCTGTAAGTCGATTTCGTTGCTGAATATACTAATAGTTTATAAGTTAAGGGCAGGTTTTGGGACCAAAATGATGGATTTTGACATGACCCATGAATAAGTTGAAGTTCATTCTATGAGAGGGGGAAAGCACCAATGCCACTTGAGATGTATCTCCCCACCCAGGTATTTCAAAAATGTGGAGAGAGAGGGGCCTGTGCGGTTTTTAAAATTTCCTCTTGGGACAGACTAAACTCTCACCTTTTGACACCACTCAGAGAATGGTGTCAAACTATCAACTCACATTGATAGTTGATAAGTCAACTGAGGGTTCTGGGGTTGATTTTTTAAAAACTAAAATTCATGGATTGAGTATATAAGATCGTTTTCTTCTTCCATAATATAACCATTGAAATCTCCAAAGTGGGATCCAGGGTGAGGGTAGCATGGGGACTTTGAACTTATAAAACATGGATGGGAATTGTGTTGCTCTTCAAATGTTACTCAACTGCAGGTCCTGGCTTTGGCTGATGGAAGTTGCAGTTCAGCAACATCTGTAGTTCCCACTTCTATTATAAAGCAGAGGAAAGAATAATTCAGGAGCATCCTATATGTGATTCAATGCTGTTCCTATTATATTCTAGAATCTTCCATAGTGTAGGTCGCAACATGCATTTTTTCAACCATACGTGATCACGTGATTGCTTATATCATAAAAACTAGAGCCGATATACATTTTTAAATGTCATTTTCGTTTTCAGCACCCCAAAATCATAAAAGAACAGCTATTTTCAGGCCCGCAACTTTTTCTCCGTTGAACAGTGTTATTTGCTTTATCTGTTTCTTTTTCATATATGTATAAAGAACTTTGTGTAGCACTGACCGTTCATGGCTTTATCTTGAGTCCTTTTGAGCATGGTGATCAGCTGAGGTTGGGGGGTTTAAAACCTTTAGGGAATGTAAGTTCATACAGAAGGTCAGGATCTCCCCATGTGATGCCAAAGAACAAACACTACACCTCTTGACCAAAGAGGGTCATGCCTGAAGAACATTTGTTGATGTACTAATGTACAATTAATAGAAACATCATGAACTCCTGAGTCTGATCTATAGCTCAAAACCAAACAGGCTGAAATATAGGGAGTTTAACCAAAGGGATTAGAAGTAGTTGAAGGACACTGGTCAGTTTCCCAGTTTTAAGAAAACAGATCAGGAATTTGGGCAGAAGGAGAGGAATTAAAGAATACATTTGCATGGGGTCCAAGAAATATTAATATGTTTAGATGCAGCGATTCACAGGGAGCACAGCATTATGCTGTTTTATGCTAGGTATAAAGAAGGCCCAGAGCTTACTGGGAGAGAAGTGTTTAATCGTGAACTGCCTCTGGAAACTGCTCAAGGGCAGGCCTTTCAGTGTCTCTTGACTCATCCACATCTTGTGATCAACTGGATTAAAGCCTACAGAAGACTTAATTGAAAATTATTTCTAGGTTACCTTAAGGGTGAAGTCTTTTCAGTTTTTTATTTTGAAGGCAGAGTTGGTAACTAAAGTGAGAGTTGAGAAAATTTCTAGGATCTGAATATAAAACGCAGAGAATTCTAGTTTTGCCCAAACCAGTTTATTTGATTTTTTTTGCATTTTTAAACGTATATCATAATATTATAGCTCATCACAGCATAATGTTTTGAAAAGGGAATAAAAAAATATTCTTTAAGCACATTATTTTGAACTTACATGTTCTGTTTTGAATGGTCAAGAAAACTATACCAGTCTTAACAATAACAATTTAGGCAGTCCCCGAGTTATGAACATCTGACTTACAAATGACTCATAGTTACAAACAAGGGTGAGGCAACAGGAAATGAGAGAAATCTAGCCCTAGGAAGGGAAATCCACTCCTGAAAGAGTTATCACAGGGAAAAGATGTCTCCACTGAAGCTTTAACATTAATCCTTGTTTCCACAAGAAGCTACATTTTCAAACTCCAATCACAGGGACAAAAAGTGAGTTGAGTCTTCTGAAGAGGAGCAAAACAAACATCACAGGGATGTTAGCCCTTCCTTATGCTATCCAAAGTATGCATGTGCCCATTTGTGTGTGTCTGGCGTTACACTTAAAAACGTACCTGTTCTGACTTACATACAAATTCAACTTAAGAACAAAACGACACAACCTATATTGTTCGTAACTTGGGGATGGCTTGTATTTCTACTGGAATATTTTGATCAATAAATTGTTTTGGGGACACTGAGTATTTGCATGTATGTATATTTTACTGAGTCTTATTTTGCGCACACACCGTAGAATTAATGCAGTTTGACACTACATTAACTATCCAGTCTAAATTCTGTGGAATCCTAGGATTTGTAGTTTGGTGAGGCACCAGCACTCACTGACAAAGAAGGCTAAAGACCCTGTAAAACTACAGCTCCCATGATTCTATAGCATTGAGTCATGGCAGTTAAAATGGTGTCAAGCTTTATTGATTCTACATTGTAGATGCACCCTCAAAATCTAACTGAATATGTATGTCTGCAGTATCTCAAATTCTTTCTCACCAGAGCTCACAAAGTCAGCCTTCAAAATCCTTTTACTTCATGGCTATTTCTACTCTGCTTTTATAATCAGGTTACA